GGGGGGGGGGGGGGGCGCAGAGATGCCTGTTTGCCTTATGTAAGAGCATATCAATGGTTTTTGGAACTAAGCATTGCAGAGCGTAAGCTCTCACATGGCGTGTATGGTGGTTCCTCAAGAAATTTCCAACAAATCATAAGCTTGTGAAAAACTGGTTCATGCATGTTACTTGGCAAATATTTATTAACTAAATTATCTGAATATTCCATGTAACACGAGTGTCTTCCTGTCTGTTGGTCCTTGCATGTCACCTGACTGTGCAGTCATCATCTGGACCAAGTAGTTAAGCATGATGCATCCCACAGCAGTAGGTGATGGGTAAGTTTAATCCTAAATAGTCTTTCTTTACCTGTGCTTCTCCCCCAAGCCCAGAATGCTTAGGCAGCAGTTATACTCATGGAGGGATGAAGACTGGTGTTTGGGGAGAGGTGGGGAACAGAGATTGAAGCTTGGTGAAAATGCAGTAGGCCTAGGAATCTGGAAAGGATGGTACTAGTAAAATTAGAAATTGTCAGAAGTGGGGGGAACAAGAGAGGGCAAGAGGTGAGAAGGACAAGCTGTATGCTGCTGTGGAAGGAACAATGGAGAAGGTGAGTAGGAGACTGAAGAGCAGAAAGAACACGGATAGAAAGGAAGCATGAAGAGTGTTGGCAGCAGGAACAGAAGAGGCTGGAACACAGCACGTCTTCCTTGCAAAAACTAGTTGAACTGATTGCTTCTGGCTCATCGTTACTGAAGAGTTGTGGAGCAGGAAAGGAAGAATTTTTATTTAATTACCATTTTGAAAAGAAAATAACAGTTCATTTTAGGGCCTAAACTCAGTAGCAAACCAAAGTTGTTCACGTTTGATCAAATGAGTCAAAAGAAGGAATAATCTGGAAAAGTTACTGACTGATAGGAACCAAATTTGACAGAGGGTTGCAGAACCAGGATTTTGTGTCACTTCAGTTTATTCAGCTCATCCAAGTTAATGCTTGGTTCACTGACAGGCTCATTATTTCTGAAATCATAAAGGACATAAAAATTTAATAATTGACAGTGGAACATCTTAATCTTGATGAAGTGTTTAAATGCCAGAAGTGTGTAGAGGGGATTTTCTTAGGCATTCAACATCTCAAGTCCATTTTAAATGCAGTTATTAGTTAAATAAAACTCTTCTTCATTTTTTAGCTGTACTTCAGTAGCATTAGGAATTCAGTTATTCATACAATCATTAGAAACTTTTATGATTTTATAATAAAAATGTTGGAAAACTTACATATGCTTACATAAACTGCTTGCTTAACATTGTATGCAACAGCAATAAAGGCATAGTGAGATTGGCAGTTATTCTGTGTCTTTTTTATGAAACCACAAAGTATATACATAAAAGAAGATTAATTTCAGTTATAGTTTACTGGGTGCTGATACGGTTCATGATTAAAATGGGATTTCCTGTTGCTTTGCTTTAATTCGCCTGGAAGGGTATGATAAAATGAGTGTCTACAGAAGTAACAGTGACTGCACGCTTGTGGGGATGTTCCAGAGGCTTCAGTGGCAATGGAACAGCATTGAGTCTAGTACATATGCAAACCTGTTGTTTATCCATGCAGAATGCTGGAGAAATGTGGAGGGTGGAGTTACTTTTTTTTCAGATAAAATTGTGTTTGAAAAAGTAATTAAATATCATTAAGTAGGGAAGTTATACCAAAATCAGTTCCAACGGTGGAATTGCTGGTACATGTCCTCAGGTATGTAAGGGGGTTTTGTTAGTCTTTCTAATGCAGTCCTCTTACCATGATAGCAGCAAGGCAGATACTACACCGTTTTCTTGATTTTTGGGTCTGAAATATTATGATCACAGCACATTGGGTAATACTGAGAGGAACAAAATACTCCTGTGTCCTGTGGCAAATAGATATCTTTGAGGATTCATGATGCGTATACCAGGATTCACAAGTAGGAACCATATTTTAAGTTTGCAGTGTTAAGAATACAGGAAAAAAACCCTAAAGGAATCTTCATTTACATCAGGCATGGATGAAGGAGTGATGGTAGGTAGTTAATGCTCCCTCATACCCTAATCCCAATTGCTAATTGGAGCAATTAAAGAAGGGAGGCTTCCTTTCCCCTCGGATTTGGTTTCCTTTTACCAAATTTTCTGTTTAGTCTCCTTAATTCCTTACTTTATGGAGCTAATAAAGCGGGGTCAAATTACAGTGTGAAATGGGTAGGAGAAACTGAGAAGCTGCCAGAAGTTTCTTGAATTTGAGAATCTTTTAATAGAAGAATGAGGTTTTCATTTTGCAGAAGGTAGGAGAGCAACCTGAGGATTTCTTTCTGCAATACCAAGAGCTACCTGAAGGGAGGATACTAGCATACTGAGGTGACATTTTATGGCCAGATTGGATAGGATTACTCATCTTTCTCTTCCTTGTTGTTAAGAAGTACTATGATAAATTGGGAATTACATAAACCATGATTATACATGCTTCCCAAGAAATGCACCAGTATAAAGACAAAGGATGTATGCAGAATTAAGGAGCTGGAAGTTTTTCGAAAGACCCAGATGCCCTTCTGTGTTGTTGTGCCTTGAGAAATTGGTGTTAATTTATGCGTCTGTAATACCCATTTTATCAGTTACTCCATGTGCAATTTTAACTTGTAAAGTGGCACATTTTTTTTGTAATACCCTTTTTCATACTTAGTACCTGCAGATAGGAGAATTCCAAGAATTCCTTTAGAATTTCGAAAGCAGAGTTTACACAGAGTACTAAAGGAACGCAGATCTCTGCATGAGACTGTATGTTGTTTGTCGTGCTGTGTGACGTCATGTGGTGATGCATGGATGATAGTCTGTGATACAAATAGTTTGTATGGCTTGATAAATTCTGAAATGGGATGATGCAGAAGGAGGGTGCTATGAGAGATTGATGGGACAACAAAGCAGTGTATATAGTGTTGGAGAGGCCTTGCTGAATAAAGTCAGTGTTAGATAGTATGTATGTTCAAAATTCTACAAGAAAACACAGGTTGATGATATAGTGTAGCCTGTATTTCCGAATAAATTTAACTGGATGGTGGATTTTAATTTATTTTTAATTTTCAGTTTCTTAAAGTATAATATGCATTTGTTTTTTTAATGTAATCTCATATTGATTAAGATTAATATATAAATAGCTTTATTGCACCACCAAACAATAAAGGGAAAAAGTAACACAAAGTAAATATCATTTTACTGCAGCCAAAAATTGGGTTTGTGGCTTTTTAGGTTTTGTCTCCCAGGGCAATTGACGGCATAGCTGTTGTGTAATAACTGTTTAGCTGTATCTGTGTAGTGCAACTCCCTGAGGCTGGTAGTTTATTCCTGAACGGGAACATAATCTTTCTAAAAGTATCATTTTCTAAATAATTACTATACTTTGCAAGTACATAAACAGTGGAAATGGAAGCCACCTTGTTGATGAATAAGGAGTACACTGTCATTGAGCACAGTTTTAATAAACTTGTATGCATCAACTTCATATTGATCTGTTTGTCTTAATTGTACTGAACGTCTCTTTGTAGGCAAGTTGATGGAGATAGATAACCACTGCAGCAAAGGTAGAATGAATCCCTTGATGACATGTTGTCATATATACTCTATGTATTGCTTCTTTATTATTATTTGAATCTATGAAAATACGTGTCGTGATCTTAATGTCTGCTAATATTTGTGTACGTGAATGTGTGCAACAGGTCTTTGTTTCTTACTAGCTGACATACAGTCATTGTCTCATTTTGCAAAGAGGGTTCTTCTGTGCTTTAATGAACAAGGTCATATTTTGCTTTGTAGTAAAAACTTTTTAAGTGAATAAAGCAAGTTGCCCTTGGTTTTGGTTACGCAGTTAAGTATCTTCTTTGTTATGATAACATGACTAAAGCTTGTCTGCAAGAGGAATAAAAGGAAAAAACAAATTGGCAGTAGCAATTCCAAGTTTAGGCTCCACAATGCCTTGGTGTTGTCTCCATCCTTTAACAGGTGTATCTGCTCCCTGATCTTGTCCCCACTGAGATAGCAAGGACATAATATGCAAGCTCAGCTCTCTCTTGTTTTCTTGTTTGATATGTTTTAGGGTAGACTCTAATCTTCCAAAAAACACTTGACAGCAATTAAGAAGACAGTAGGACTGCAATGTCCTCTGGCTCCTTCTCAGCCAAACCTTTTCCTCTGCAGCATCTTTCACCTGGACCTGCATTTCTTCAGTGCTTTTTTTTTTTTTTTTTCCTGCCCTTGATAATCTCGTACACTGTCGAAAAACTTGCCTATTTCCAGAATTCCAGCTGAAGGCTTTGCAGGCAAGGGCTGCTCCTTGAAACATGAAATATTTTGTCTGACCATATCTGGCAGCAGCGGCACAATCAGTTCTTTGCTGCAGTTGTTTCTGAATGAAGGGAGCGAGTTTTTCAGATTTGCAATAATGAGGTAGCCCTTCTTTATGTCTGAGCAGAGACAAGCAATAGATAATCCCAGTTTATCTGGCAGTGACCTAGATTCAGAAGATGCTATGAATAATGAGAAATCCTCTATTTGAAAATAGCCCAGTAAATTGCGGTGGGTGAAAATGAGTACCAAAATTATAGAAGATAAATAGCATGCTAAGAGGAATAAGAGGGTATACTGTCTTCTCAGAACAGATTTAAGAAGTTGGAAAAATGAGAAGCCCATTCTTTGGGGACAGTTTAAGAGAAAGTGTAAAAACTTCTAATGTGACATCTGCCCCTTGAGGCTTTCAAGGCCAGGTGTATCAGTTGGACTGAAACTCCTAGCTAAATATTTCATCTCTAACCAGTGGCTGAAGCTTATGCCGCCTTATAACTCCTCAGAGTATCTTCCCTGCTCTTTTAGAACTAGGTTTCATGAACCAAAGATGGCATCTGTATTGAGTGGCCCTTACCAATTTGTTTTTCTGTGAATTTGTCTGAAAAACATTATTTCTACACTACACATGGATAACTTTTGGTTCTCAAATACAAACTTCACCTCACTTTCAAAAATGTTTGAGTACTTTCATTCCACTTTTTTACACAGTTGGGAAAACTGGGAACACAGGAACCTCGTCTGTGTGAGAAACAGATAATCTGGTTCAAGATCTCAGCTGTGTGTTTTAGCCATCATATAATTTCACATGGCCTTTGTGCAATGTTACTGTTTGGAATTTACCCTGGGAGAGTTTTGCAGCCTTTTTTAAATGTTTTTCAGCAGTTGTGTTTTCTAAATATATTTTCACAATCTTTGCTTTCACAATCATCACTACTTTTTTTAAGTAGCTTTAATATATCAAACAAGTGCTATTGCATTAAATATAATTAAAGTAATTTTAAGTGGTAATTTTTGAAAGCTTTTAAAAGTTGCTGAATAAACCTGTAGTAGAACCTGTCTTCACAGAACAAACGATTCTAACTATGGCTTGCGCTTCTTCCTATAGTCTTATCGTGTAGCAGATTACTTGCTCGTAACTGTTTTAGAATACATTCCATGGAAATATCAAAGCGTGATTATAAAGAAGATTTAAATTTTTAAAAGGGCTTTCACCTTTCTTGGTTTCATGCTTAATTTTTACAACACTCAAGAGTTATTCCTATTTGCATTTTGTAGTTTTATTTTTGGGATGTGTCTTGTCTAGTCTAAGCAGACGCTGAGCCACAGAGTAAAATATGAAGGTTGAACAGCAAGCAAGTTAGCAGTCCAAATGTAGCCTTCTGTTAGAAGTGTCGGCAGAGACAAAGATAAATATGGAGAATGAATGGAATAAGATGAGGGAAAGTTCAAGTGATAGCATGGAATAGTGTGTGCAATTAGAGATTATTAAAAATGCAAAAATAATTTTCTAACACATGCAAAAAAAAAATCCTGTCAGGTTTTTTTTTAAACTTGGGGAGGGAACCACATAATAAACCAAAATATTTTCTTTAATCATATTCAGTCTCTGAAACTATGTTCTGTGTTGTTGTCTCTTTCTGAATGTTTCCCTGTTGGTTTTTAGGTTTCTGCCCTCTACATTGTACTTCAGTGGAATCACTCTGCTGGAACAAGATAATGTTGTCTTCAACCCATTGAAGGAAAAGGGTAAGCAGCTTTCTCATGGCCAATATTTTATCTCCTTTAGAAAGCAGTGTGCCCTGAAAGCAAAGATTATAATGTATTTCGGTGCAAAGTAAAGCTAGTTCTAGATGCTTTTCATGTGTCAAAGGGGCTTGCTGTTTTGATTTTTGTTTCCCTTTAATTTTGTATGTGAATATAAGGATTTACATTTATAGAGCAAGTGCCAGGACTAAAGTTAAATAAGAATGAGCAAATAGCCATGCTAAATCTGCCAATCTCTCCATTTCTCTGTGAAGGACTTCAAAGGAATGGGTATAGGGGAAAATTAGAAGGAACGATTACTTGTTAACAAGTCTGTTGCGTAGTTTCTTCACAACCCTAAGACAGTTAGTGGTTAGTTTATACCCCGAAGCATAACTATTTATATCTCTTACAAACATCTGTTGTAGCTTGTATATGTTAAAAGTGATATTACTGAACTCCCAACAGCTTACTTGCACCTTATGTTAATGTTTCTGGGTGGTCCCTTTGCTCTTAATTATGAAGGAGTAAGTAGAGCAAGTGAGGAGTGATGTATGTTAAGTGATCACTTTGTATATATGCTTCAGCTCACCTTTAATCTCTTCTCTTGAATACTTCTTAACTTGAACAAAGTCTCCACAATTCTAATTATGATTACCCCTCTTAATTTAGCTTTCTTTCTACTCTATGTTTTACCTTCATAGTTGATTTTATTAAAGGTTTGCATTTTTTCCTTTCACTTTGTTTCACAGAACACAATGCTTTTGCCACATGTATCAATGGAGTTTCTGATTGCAGTTCATGCATCAGCTTCCAGTTTACATGACCTTAAAACATTTCCTTGGGTTTTCCTCACACTTTGTTTTCAAAATAAATAATCAGTGCTGTTCTGCATGAAGCAGACTGACTAATTCTCTCAGCCTTGGGTTACTTTTGTTATTTGTAACTCTTTGAATATAACACAAATGCACGGTTTTCCTTCTACTCTCCATTTCTTTAACAAAGAGTAATTGGCATTTTTAAAGCTAAGTTGTCCAGAAGTCATATGTTCTTAGGCTCACTTCAGATACCTTAGGCCATATAGTATTGGGTATAGCTGTGCTGGTTAAAGATAGTCCTGCTGTGAGTTGATAATCGCCACACATGAGCCAGAAACTACCACACTAATAGGTCAGCCAAGAGCAGGGGTTGTATGATTGCAGAGCAATGTGCTTCAGACAAAGTCAGCTGGTTTAAATCATAGCCACCTTTAACAGCGGGTTGAACTAGCCTAGCTGACTTCATGTAAAAAGGATCAGAAATCATTCATGTGTTCTGCGAGCTCAGTGGTAGAGCTGTGGAAGTAATTAGCTCTGGCAGGGTGGCAGTGATAAACATCTGGGAGCAATACCAGCTTCATCTAGCATCGTTGCTTGCAGAATGAACATCTGCTTAGGCTGTGTATCTGCTAACTAGAACTGGATGCTGTATCTTAAATGAGGTTATAAAAGCCAAATGTGTAAATACCTTTTCAGTTATTTTTCTTAAAGTTTAGCATAGTTTGTTTCTTACCACTACTGAGTAATGAAGAGATGTTTCTCTTTAGTGAACCAAAGTAATTCCTCAGTTAATTGCCTCAGTTTAAGTATGCGATTAGCTCAATTTGTTCTTCTTGATTTGCAGTAGTTGTCTTCACTAAATCTCATCAGTTGCTATCTTGCCTAATAGCTTAATCTTCTTCTACTGTAATTATAAGTCAGAGGGGAAGCTCTTAGGGGAAATAAAGGACATACCCATGTAGACACGTTCTGTGAGAGAATAGGGCAAAAGTCCTTCTTGATGAAATAATCTATGGATCTGTCTCAAAGCTCTGCACCTCTTTCTTCCTTTGTGTGGCTTCAGGGATTTCCAGATGTGGAATGTCTTTTCCTTATGGAAATCTGGAAGGAAGAGTTGGTCCAGCTTGTCTGATTCTCCAGAAATTCTTGCTGTGTCCTATTGTCTTCACCAGTTTACATGTGTTATCTTTGTTGCTTCTCTCCATCTTGATCTTTGTGTCACTAATACAATCTCACTTCCTTGCTAACCCTTAAGACATTCTTCCTCTTCCATGACTCTTTTACCTCCTATTTCCTCATGTCTGACGAAAAACTTCATATTTCTCCCACAGCCAAACAATTTCTTTAACAGTTTTTTTGTAAGGAACTTCTTCTAAGAGAATCACTAAACAGTGTTTACACTTCCTTTGTTGATCTCTTCAACTGTTGTACTTTATTTTGAGGGTAGTCTGGTCTGTGCTTTGGGTTTTACAGTCAGAAATGAAATGTGTGCCTTTTGAGGAAGAAGAAAAGCAGCATTTTGTATGTGCCCCTTCACTCCATAAATACAGAAAGACACTAATGCCTTGGTTGTAAGCTACCGTTTTTGAGAGAAAATAAATGTTTAAATCTAAGGCAAATGCTTACAGGGCTGATGTTTTAGAATGTGTCCCCCTAAAGCATTTTGAAAGATATCTCATCTTGCTATTGTGGCAAATGATGATTTAACTTTAACATTAAATTATTCATATCTATTTAAAAAATGTAGAATCTGAAATAATTCCATCAGTGAGAACATTTATGTAATTTTTAAAATTATTTTTGGTGGAAAAATCAGTAATTTTTTTGAGTTTTAAAGAGATACTGATATTCTATAAAGACAGACAGACAAACTAGAACCAGAAAAATGCTTTCATTAAAGCTGTCAGAAAAACTTTAAACACAGTCTTTACTCTTTTCCTCTGTAAATTGTATTCTTAAGAAAAGCATACTTTAGCATAGAAGTTCCCAAACTATAGCATACCTTTTAGCTAGTCTTCCACAGACTATTGAAGTTGATATGTGCATTTTGTCTACAGATAGAAACTTGTTCAGCTCTACAAGCATGTGACCCAGTGCCAGAACCAAGATTTTCTCTGTCTGCTCACATTTGTGTTTCCCAGCATGTTTTTGTATGTGTAAAATAGCATAGACTCCCAAAGAGTAACAGCTTCATTTAAGCATGAGTGAGTGAAAGTCAGTAACCTAGTTTGTAAAGGAAATAATGCTTACATCATCCTGGTGACTTCTCTGGAGAAGGAAAAAAACAAAAAAGAAATAATGTTTAGGAATTGTACTTTGAGTAGAACCTGATGCAAAGTAAGGCTTGAGGTTTGTCCTGAGGGCTTAGGTTTGTCTCTGTGCCTAAAACTGTTAAGTAAACAAAGGAGGTAGTCCTGAAATTTGTCCTGTGTTTCCTAAATGAAACATTTACTTGAGACTATTATAATCTGTAGGGGAAAATACCCAGAAATGTAAAAATTGGTCTTCAAAATGGTCATATACTGTAGTCATATGCAATGATGAAGGAAAGATTTTAAAAATAGTTGAAAAATTTGTAGTGATTTAACATGTTACAGAAAAAAAAAAAGGTTTTGTTTCAGCTCTCAAACTGGTGAAAATTCTAAAACTTAGTTCTTCAGTGCTGATTCAGGTGGAAGAGAACAGAAGAGCTGGAATTAATACCTGGATGTAATATTTTTCAAGGCATGAGCTCTGTCTCTTCTAATAGGAATATTTTTTTATAGTAGCTAAACATTAGGACTCCAATGTGTCAAAGAAAATTAAGTTCTATGGTAATATTTAATGGTAATAGCATAATGAATTATGTGATTTCAGTTGTAATGGCTGCTACTCTGACAAGAAAATGAAATGTAAATTAGTAATTTGATGGATAATCTCTTATCTGGTAGTGTTGCTATGCTAAAATATTTTTTTTTTTAATTACTGGATGTCCAACTTTTTTTTTTAAAGTTTGACTCATCTGGGCACTAAACTCTGGCTAATGCTTAGAGGGAATAATTTACATAAGTTTACTTGTGTTATCCTATTAAAATTAATATTTCCCAAATTATCAAATGACTACAGAAATGAGATTTCTGAATTCCAAGGTCACTTTTGAAACTATATAACCACATAGGCACAGTTGTTTAAAAGCTGTTAGATATTGTTCCATTCTTTGTTGAGCCTTAAATGACTTGAATGGTAGATTCCTGATGTCAGAAGTGATTTGAGACTTTGGTTTCTAAATGTATTTTCAGGCCCTAACTTAAGAATCTGGATTCATACTTGTGAGTAAATAGGGTTTTCCTTAACACTTTTTATATTTGGTTCATTGGTTGTAGGCTATTATTTTTTCACTTACAGTAATGCTCGATGTGTTGTTAGCCTTTTCAAAGTAGAAACATAAATTTTTGCTCGTCTCTACGTTTTATGTGTTAGTTAGTTAAGTAGTACAAAACTAAATGCTAAAGTTTACTTGAAGCTTGTGAATGTAAAATAACCTCAGCTGCTTCTTAAAAATCATACTTTAAAATATAAAATGATATAATGAACTTTCTGCTGATGAAACCTGTTGCATTTTCCAATGTGATTTTATTTTTTTTTTTGAGAAAATGAACATAACTATCATTGTCAATAAACTTGCCTATCTTTTGGACAGAGGTGTGTGCATAGTATCTTTTTTGATCATTTAGAACTGAATTCTAAGTAGTCACTTTTGTAATTGTTTGTTTGTTTGTTTGTTTGTTTGTTTAAGAATATTTGTTCATACTTATGATGGTTTGACATAACTAGTGTTTTATTAACCATGATGGCAACACAGACATTAAGTATAGACAACTATCAAGATGGACAACAGGTAAGTGTGTTTTTATTTCTCTATGAACTAAACACAGTTAGCAAGTGAAAAAAGGTAGTGACTTTTTCCTAATGATTGCTTTGGCATTATTTAAGTGTCTGTTCTTGTTTGTAAAACAAGATCTTTAAAGTGATAAGCTACTATTCTTTAATACTTGTATATTTATTAAAGGCTTAGCTAATCTTTGCATGACTTCACTTACTTTCTGGAAGAATGGTTAGATAAGTCTTCTTCTGAATTTGCTCTAGATGACCTGTGTTCTGTAATGGTCCTGTTTTCAGGAAAACCAAATGGGCATCTGTAATGTTTTGTGTATGTAATGCTTCAGTGTTCTTACATATTTACAGTTACAATAGATTGATGACATTTACTCAGACTTGTTGGTCTTGACCAAGCGAAGGATAAACTCAGTTATCTAAAATTACATGTTACTTTGACTACATTTGATGCAATTATGCTGCAGGCTGAAAACTGGTAAAATACTTGAATTAATTTTAATGATATTATTGTTTAGAAATGCTAGTTAGAAAGCTGGTCAGTGGGCTTCCAGTTTCTTACTTCTGCTAACAAACAGCTAGACTAATGAAACATACTCAGAGATGTCTGGTCATGATGTTTCCTTTTTGTACAACAGGCTGTATATTGCAACAATTTGAATTCCTAAATTAAAATCCTGTTAACTGGAGACAAGTCATGCCATGGCCTGTACTTTTACTAATGAAAAAAAAAACCAAAACCCAAACAAAATTTTTACATTACTGCATCAGCCCTAAGCAGTAAATGCAAGTACTTCTGTCAGCAGATGGCAACAGTGGTGAACAGTCAGAAGAAAACCAGCAACTTTTCTCAACTCTTATAAAAAAAAAGATATTTATCTGAATGCAATCTGGGGTTATTGATTTTTTGTTGTTGTTTGCTTCTTTTATTGCAACTCTAATTTCTCTCTCCTCTCGCCTACCTTACATCTTTTACTTTATTCCCCCAACAAATATATGCCATCCTGTGACAGATCAATGAAAGTAATCTTTTTTTTTTTTTTTTTTAAATAATGGATTGGGAGAGAGCATTTTCTTTCCATTTGTTTTGTATTTTAAGCTCTCAGTGACCAAGATAGGTAATTTGGGTGTCTTCTGCCTTTGTAGCTTGGAAATGTCTCACAGAAAATAGCTTGCAGTTTTGAGTGAGCTATATCCTCCTTTTAGTGAGATAGAGCCCTAACTGAACATATTCTTCCCTTTCAAACCCTGCAGATGTATGGTTCAACATTTATAGTCACTTATATGAGTCATCCCCTTTTATTTTGCTCCTCCTTCTTGGTATTAGCCAATAAATTAGTCTATTAGTTGCATCTTTTTTACAAGCATTGTGGCTTAAAAACTATGCTTGCTGAGGAAGCTTTTTGCAAGGCAGGCTGCTCTGTTGGGTAGGATATGCTGGCATTTTCTCAGTTTCTGATTTTGCTGGGCGGTGGCTTGGCCCTGACAGAGAATAAAGCACAAACCTTTTGGTTCTCCCAGACTTCTTGTTGGGAATAGTATAAATTCCTTTTGCTTATGCTGTGTGGAAATTGATTAAATTCTGTCAGAGTGAAGTTCTGTAATAGTTTCTGGAGGCCAGCTCTCATCTCGGAGGGTTTCTGTGGGTGATGTGATAAGTACATCTCATGGGGAAAAGAGGACAGAGGATTGCATTCTGTACACTGCCTTTCTGCAGGTGTCAGTTTTGGCTGCCTACTGATACCTAGAACAGTGTCTGTCCTCTACTTAAGATAAAACTTGGTAGGGTTGAAGTAGAAAGAGAAAAAAAAAAAAAAAAGATTGCAGTCATTTCTTTCATTTCTTGTCTTTGTACAGATGTTCCCAGTGCTCAAACGGGAGAAAAACAAGGAGTTTGGGTTGGGGGAGTGGAAACTGACTTTCAGAGGTCAGGTTCCTTTAAGACCTTTTAATTTGGAAGATATTTAGTTTGAGGTGATTGGAAAACCACTTTCAACACCTTCAAAGCACCTTAAAGGTATTAGCAAGCTCTAGGGCAATATAGGAGGTGCTCAGTGGAAGCTGTGGTTCTGTGTTGTTTTTCCAGTGGTGGAAGATTGTGTGTTAAATGGATTTATAAAAGAGTTACTGCTTTTTTCTCCAGTAGCTTGACATTCCTAAAATAATACGTTATTACAGTATGTAAATTTGATTGGTAAAGGTCAGGGGAGATTATGGTCCAATAATTGAAAGGTTGGAGGGACACAGAATATTTCAGTTGTAAGAAAATGTGCATTTTAATGGACAGGAAAAGCTTGGGGATCTCTTCAGTATCTTGCTACAATGTACAGTAAGAAATCAGAAAGAAAACTTTAGAGGAGAAACTTTCCTTTCTCTGTTTTCATACTAAAGGCTTTTTATGCAGACATCCCCATAAATTTTTTGAAGAAAAAAAATCCTATTTTTTACTAGTCTAGTCCAAAAATAGCCACCTTAGAGACAAAATGCTTTAACAATTTACTAATATCTGTCATTACCATTTTAAAGCTGAGTGCGGAAACTTGAAGTGAGCTTTACACTACCCATCAAAAAGTGCCAAGGATTAAAAGAGGGGTTTTGTTATTGCTATGGCTTTTTGTGTAACTGCCAAGTCATACCAACCTTCTGGCAATTTAGTGGCCTTTTGCATTGCTATTTCCTTAGAAAACAGTACATTTATTTTACGTCAAGCATAGAGATTTACTTACTCTTTTTCTACAGATGCAAGTAGTAACAGAGTTAAAAACTGAACAAGATCCCAACTGCTCTGAAACTGATGCAGAAGGGGTGAGTCCTGCCCCTGTAGAATCTCAGACTCCAATGGATGCAGACAAGCAAGCCATTTACAGGTAGTAATGGACTCGTGTTCTGTCTTTTGACGGGTAAAGAATAGAGATTTTTTAATTTTTTTTTAAAAATTAATAATAAGTAGCCTAAAATCAGATGGTCTCTTGGCTAACTGTCCCAGTAGTTTGCAGGGAAAGAATCAGATCAAATTAGCTTCACTGTCAGTCTTCAGTCAAAAACAAAAAAATTCCCTTTATTGTGGGATTCTTCAATTTCAGCATAGTTTAATGGGTATTCTAAAGGTGGCTGCCTTTAAAGCACAAGTGAAATTTAGCAAGCTACTCAGACTGTTGATCTGTGGTCACTATTTGTTATACTGTAGTTTTTATCTTTAATGTGAGATTTTATTTTTATTGTAATTAGGCCAATCTTTACTCCCTTTTCTTTAAGGATGACAATCTGTTGCACAGTAATTAGCTCAAACTGGTTTAAATGTTGATGTATAAACGTGCTAATTTGAGATTTTTCCAGTTACATGCTGTGCTAAGCAGCATGCTCAGTTTTGATGACGTTGAGTGTTCTTTCGCTTTCAGTGCTGTATAAAGACATAATTATTACTAGTTTTCAGGTTAAAAAAAATAAAACCAAAAACCTGAAGCAGAAGGATTTTACAGACTTGTGCTAACAAAATTGTCTTCTCTGAGCATGATTTCATAGGAGGCCTTTGCATACAGCCTGGATACTATTCTCAGTTCTGTGAAGTTATTTGTGATGTATAAATAGGGCCCACACTGAAAAATAAATTAATATTATCAGACTTTATTTCATAGTTTAAATCTGCATTCATCCTATTTGTAAATACTAATCCTCATTTCTAATGCATGATACTAAATGTATCTCTTTCCACTCAGTTACAGTGAATTAAATACTATGGCATAACTTTTTAGCTTGTGATTGTTCTGTTCATTTAAGTATATATATATTTTACTGCTTTACTTGCCTGTAGAGTATGTGGTAAATCAAAATTAAAAACAAACAAAAAAAAAACCAACACCAAATTTTGATCATGTTCTGCTATAGCAGTCTCTTCCAGGACTTGTCTTTTTGTTTCTTACATGAGTAACTGTACCTTATGTGAGCTAGATGTGTTACTTTTCCATGGTGTACACATAAGTGAAAATACTTATTCATGTATTTTAACTTTTATTCTAGGCACCCACTATTTCCCTTGTTAGCACTATTATTTGAAAAATGTGAACAATCTACACAAGGCTCAGAAGGCACAACTTCTGCTAGTTTTGATGTAGATATTGAAAATTTTGTAAGGAAGCAAGAGAAAGAAGGAAAACCCTTTTTCTGTGAAGATCCAGAAACTGATAATTTGGTAAGTATAAGCTGTCTATTTCATTGCTGAAACAATCATCACATTTGCCTCTTATTTCAAACTTCTGATCTCAACTGGTACTTACAGTTTCTCCTCACGTTTTTCTTCCTACAAGAGATTCTTCTTCATGTTAACGCTGAGAAACATTTTTTAAAAATTTCTTCTGACTCCACTTTTACCTCTGACCTGTAAACTTACATTGGGCCCTTCACAGTTGTTTCCCATTCTGAACTGGCTGAGATCAGTGTATTAGAGATGAACGGAAACATATGCTTGCCACAGGTTGACTGTGCAAATCAGTTTTAAGAGTGTCAAGTGTATAACATATTTATCAAAAACACGTAATTGATTTAAATGTTTTCCAACATTTTTTTTTTAATTGGGGTTCATCTAGTTAATGTGGGAGAAGAGCTGTTACAAGATGAGCTTAGAAACTCTTCGTCATATACAAATTTTTTCTTTGTGTCATTGTCTCCTTTAGACTTTCTGAAAGTCCTTCCTGTGATGAAGCTGTGATTTCCCTAGTCCCTTATTCTTCTTGAATCACATCTCCAGATACTGCTAATTTCTAAAATGTCTACCTGCCTTCATCTCTTTCAAGTCATGTTGCAACTAGATGTTATCACATTCAAGAGTGTTAGAATTACAGAGGTCAAGTGTTCTGTTTCATTTTTGAAAACCTGTTCCTTAAAGGGGGCTGTGTCAATAAAACAAGTATTCATCCTTGAGTCTACCTCATAGGAGAAAAAAATACTTACCGTATGGAAGTTCACAAACAAAACTAAATTGATATGAGGTTGTAAACAACAGAAATGGTAATGTTTTGAAGCTGATACATAGAAAGATTTATGTGGGTAAATAATACCCTGTGTGGGAGACGAAGGTAATGTACGCAGAGAAAACTTAAATAAAACCAAGACTTAAACAACAAATTAATCTGAGATGCTGTTTAGAATTGGCAGGACCATTGCAGTGAACAGCATGTTAGGAGGGGTACATATTGTAGCAAAAACCAAGTCAATTTTGGCTGCTTTTGCAAGCAGCCTAAATAGTCATTTTACGTAACTTGATTTCTTTCCAAGCAATTTATGACCAGTCGTTAGTGTACTTAAGTTCTGGGAAGATAGTATTTAAATAGTATCATAGAAAATAAAGGTACAAGTGTCTCTACATATAATTAGACCAGTGTGAAAGTAAAGAAGGCTGAAAACAGTATGTTCTAGAGTGAGGAAGGCTTTTACAGCTCTGTTCAAAGAGTCATAAAAAGTTACCTTCTTGACTACTTGTTACGTCCTTTTAGCTGTAGGTTACAATGCACAAGACTGTAATATCTTAATACATTGTGTCAACGATCCTAGTCTATGTAAATATAAAGTCACCTTAGATTAAATCTTCTTCAAGGATGAATCAAATTAACACAATGCACTTTGCACTAATCCACCTGCAAGACTGCTTTCAAAAAGTTCTCTTACAGCTTTGGCTGTGGAGCTGTCTTACAGAAGCTTTTGTTTTCAGTTTGGAAACATTTTGGGGCGCAAATAACATTTTTGTGTTAGAAGGTGACCCAAAATAATGCCCTTCAGGATGAATCAAAAGCAGCTAAAGGAGGACACATAATCTTATGCATAATGATACTCTCAGTATTAGTGTGAAAATTCTCAGTTTATAAATGAAGAACTGAAGAACAGGCATTGGCCACTTTGACCAAAGTTACAACTAGAACAGAATTGAACACCCAAAATCTCAATTTAATAACTTTAAACATTTGATCTTTGTGAGCAAATTTTTATGCAGCTCACCTGAGAAATACGTACTGATACAGACAGTGACTTAGTTTTCTAAGTAGGAAGAATCATTGGCATACCTACTAAAACAGTTCCATGAACAAACCCTATAGCAGAATAACTGTTGTCAACTGTAGGAATTAAAAATAGAATATGAAAGAAGAAAAATAAAGGCAAGGAGACATAAATGATGATTTTCTTCAGTTACTGCTCTAGTGTGAGCAGCAGAGGTGTGGGGTGCTTTCCTTTTTAAAAAGTTCTTTTTATTTGAAATGTGAGTGGTGTAATATTTATTAAATACTTATAGCAAAATATAATGATTGTCTTATGTTTGTAAGCAGAAGTAAGTATTTTAGAAGGGTTACAATGAGATCGTCTGTCTGAAGAGTATGGCTGTGCTGTTGGGGTGGAGAAATCCTTGAAGATTGAGGGCCACTAGTACCAACATTCTTGATCTTTCTTGAACAGAAAAGCACTCAGGCAAATTTGGGGGAGGAAGGGGCAGAGGAAAGTGCATTATTGAGGGAGAAGGAGATGAATACTTTAAAGAGTTATTAGGTTCTGAGGAAGACTAAATCCAGGCTAAAACCTGAGTTCGTAACAGATGCTAATTTGTACATGTAACAAAATCTTGTGGGACCTTTGGTTGTTAAAGAATGAATTGCACACACAATTCCCCAAATAACATACTGGTTTCAGGATCTTGTGGTTTGACCCAGGTATCCAGAAAGTTGGATACCAGGAATGCATATCATTTTGGAATTGCTTCTTTCTTTATCTGTTTCACTCTGTAGTATGTTTAGGTTTTTGTCACTGCTATCAGTGACACCTCCAGAGTGCTACTTGCACATCAGCTGTGAATTTGAAGACACCAGCAAAATTTTCCATTACTCCTTCTTCAGAAACATTTTTGAATATGCTTGCCTCCAGTACTTTACTCAAAAATGATTAAATGATTAATGGATTAAACAATCCCAGGAGTCCCTTCTAACCTCAACTATAATGTGGGTGTTGTGAGCTTTCAAAGATTGATTTCCCAAAGGTCCTGCATGCTTTGATCTGCTTCACATACTTTTGTTTGTACACAAACATCCTCTCAGAACTAGCTTACTTTGGTTGTAGATGGGTCTGCTGTGTTCAAATAATCCTTCCTACTAATTGACCTGTTTCTGATTTTAGTGGTGACAAAGTCTCTGGTTCATGTGGTATTTGTCTTTGTTAATGGGCTGCACAAATCTGGCTGATTTTGCTTGAGATGGATGGGGAAGTATTTGTCTTGCCTTGCGTGGTTGCTGTCAGTACTGTCTTAAACTGGAACCATATGGCAAAGTCAAAAATCTTTGGCAGTGAACTCCTGTTCTGTAATCATATTGCTAGCTATGACTTTCTATTAGTAGATACCAAATGAAATCTGAGTGTGACTTGTCCTCTGCCTGTCCTGAAGGTTGGGGACTCTAAACAGCTGACATTCTGACAAGCTGTTAATTTTGTCAGAGGCAATGAGTAGAAGAGTTTCTGTCAAGTTGCAAAATAGCTAGTATGGTTTTCAATCTCTTCTTCAGCTTGAAATACTTCTGCTTGCACAGAGAAGGCTGTAGCTGGGCAGTTTTTTCTGCCTTGTGTCACATAAATATATACATTTTTATAGAGATGAAAAATCTCTTTTTAGTAGGGAGGGATTCAGATATTGTGCACCTTTGTCTTATGTTCTTGCTCTCTCTTCCTTTTTAACTCCAATGTTAAATGAACCATTCACTTGAAAGGAAAAGTTTAGTGAAGACTGCTAATTAGAACAAGCCAGAAGGGTGGAGCAGGTAGGCCAGACAGCAGGTTGCTTTCCGCCTGTGCTCTTATCTGACTCCATCAGTCAAACAAATAAGTGGTAAAACCGTGCTTGGTAGCAGTCATTCAATTTGGAGCCAAAGCTAAACTGAGACCACTATAGTACCTTAAGAGACAAATTCCAGTCTTATCCAAAAAGAGTCACAGGCCTGCCTACAGTAAGGAAATTGGCCACCGATTCAGCTGTTTCACCATTTTCCTTTTACTTCTTTTGGAAGTGTCATGTAGAACTCAACTACAATGCACAGTGTTTGTGAATAAGCTTAAACTAACAGCTTCAAAACAGCAGAATACCATTTTAAGCTCCATGCTGCCTATAGGCTAGTTGCCTAGATAAGAGAAATTGTGAAGGGTCACAGATACTGACTGAAGGGCCTCTTGCATCCTGGCAATGTTTCCCGCTGTGCACTCACCTGGAATGCCATGAATATTCCAAAGGAAAAGTCTGGATTTCACCCTGAGGACCACAGACTGTTAATGTGGACAGCACAGGCATTTGATGAGTTTGACCAGAAAGGAAGTTCATTAAGAGCAGTGTATGGTTGGTCTAACTTGAGTATCTCTTAGTAAACTATGGTCTAGATTACCTTGTTACTTTGGTATTATGGTTCCCATTCTCAATTAATTTGTGGTTTCCTGCCTTAGTAGTATAAAGGATTTCAGCAGTGGGAAATACAGGCAGCATCGACCTGAAATTTAATTTTAAGGATATCCATATATCGCTAAACCTGGTCTGTAAACCAAGTTTCAGTCCTTTTTTATTATCTAGATGGAGGGATTCCATTCTTTCTAGTTAACCACTCCAACAGTGTCAGTTGGTGATCTTGAAGTGGCATGGCAAAGGGTTATGATCAACACAGAAACAGTATTACTAGGCCTTTTTGTTTTTGCAGGGTCTTTCCCAAGTCTGAGTTCTTCAGACACATTGTGAAAACTAAAAGAGGGTAGATTCAGATTAAGTATAATCTGAAAAAGAACACTCTGAGTGAGACACTGGAATGTGTTGCTCAGAGAAGCTGTGGCTGCCCCCTCCCTGGCAGTGTTCAAGGCCAGGTTGGACGGGGCTTGGAGCAACCTGGTCTGATGGAAGGTGTCCCTGCTTGTGGCAGGTGGGGCTGGAACTAGATGATCTTTAAGGTCCCTTCCAACCCAAACCATTCTTTGATTCTTTGAAAATAGGATGTTTGCAGTGAAATGGATGAGAACGCTTGTAGAAGTACTGATGGCTTCTGGATCAGGTCAGAACTTTGGTATTAGGCTTCAGCATATTTAGAAGAGTGAGAATTTCTCAGAAGAGATTGTAAGAATTTGAAAAGAGTTGGAAAAAATGGCACTTTCTTGTGGAAGTTTTATTTTCCTTAAATGTATTTTTAAGGTACTCTGTGAAACGACCTGGATTAAGCATAATTTTTATTTGATCGATTACTATGTTGCTATTCTTCTCTATGTGCATTCATGTAATAGTCGGCAATGGTTTGTGTTCAAAACCTGCAGCATTAAAAAACCCACAAAATTGTGTTATTTCTTCATTGAAGCATAAAGTTTCTGTTGTTGTCTCTTCCTTTGTTTGAGAAGTGTATAAGATGTCTCTTTTCCTTCCGAGGAAGAGCGTATCACAGGAAAATGTAAAGTTCAGTTCTAAGATCTGTTGAAAGAAACCTTAGAAGCTTCAGTGCTAGCTCCTGGACAGATTTTAGCAGCTTGCTCTGAGATGTAGGAAGTCTTGTCATTCTAGGTATGTCTTTACTTTTAATGCAGGTTCATCTTCCAGTCAGAAGAGGTAGTTGTCTTTGGACTGAAACTCTTCCAGAAGTTCCAGTACATCCTAATAAAAACACAAAGAAAAGGGCTTTTCTGTCGTTTGCTCTTCAAGAACTATTGGCTGCGAACAGAACTTTGAAACTTTTCCCTTCCAACTTCACTGGCTCTGACCACACAAGTTAGACTGTTCAGGGAGGTAAAAGAGAGAGGTGCAAGTTTATGATTTTTTTGCAGTAAATATTGAGCTCTTATAGAATATATCTGTGCCACAGCATACTATCTGAGCCAGAATTATCCTCTGTCTTGGAATGTCTTATACAGGGTTCTTCTGTTTTTCAACAATTTTGTTCTCTCTTTGTGATTCTTGGTCACTCATGTTGTCTGTGTCTCCATTGATTGTAAATGCTGATTAGCTGCAAAAAGTTCTGCAGCTTTTCCCTTTTCAAATCCTAATCCCTGTGGGAAGGATGTGGAAGCTGAAGGTTGTACTTACATTTTACTTACTAGACTGGACGTGTGCTTTCTTTCCCAGATCTTTGATGTTCTCCATATCATTTTGGATTGTTACATTACATTGACTTTAGTCCTTATATCCAAGATCAGTACCAGAAGAGAAGTGTTGGCTGTTAAGAACCAGATCTTGGTAGTCTGTATTGCTAGCTAGAGGTTCCCAAGTGCATCATGCTCAGCTGCATCTCCATAACATGGAGTATCATCTGTTGGAGCTCCTTACCCTTTGCCATCTCTATCTCATTTTCACACATAAAATGGATCTTGGAATGAACCAGCTTCTCCATTAGTATCCTTTAGTGCTTAGGACTTACATGGACAGGTTCCTCCATGTCTAAGAAATTGTTCAGCATGAGTATTTGCAGATAATTTCAGAGCTTTCACAGATTACATTATGTTTTAAGACATGCAGTAGTACTTAACACTTCTTTGTTGTTTACTGTTAGCCAAGACACTGGGGAAACATCATGTTGCCTTAGGATGGCTCCTACCTCTTGTGTATAGCTTCTTTTCAGAGTAAGCTCTTCTCATATATGAGTGGCCTTTTAAATTTCCCCACATTAATAGGGCCACAGGATGATGCAGGTTGGATTACAAGCTCAAGAAGTTCTGTAGTCCAACCTCCTTGACAGAGTAGTGTCAGCTGTGAAGTCAGAGCAGGATAATTATGGCTTTAGCAAATCTAGAAACAGTGCAAAATAAGGGGTGTTAAATATACTCTCGCTTTTGTATTTGAACAGGACACTGCCTTTTTTGAAGACCCCCATGAGTTTTTTGTTTCATTTGGGGTAAGGATTTTTGGTTCAGTACCCTTTTCTCAAAGACCAGCCTACTGAATTTTTAGTTGTGCCAGGAAAAGTTGTAGTGATGGTGAAGCCAGCAGATGTCATTTGAATATTCTTGACTGAACAAGCCATACTTTTGCATTTCTGAAAAGTGTTCTTACTATTGTAATGTGCAAACTGTCTCATAAACCTTTAGCCATACCTTTCCTAGCTATGTCTCATATCTGGGGACTCAAAATAGGGGAGACAGTTTATCAAGTCAAAACAAATGGAAACAAAATACTCCCTCTCCCAGAGTTTGTATTCTTCCTCTGAAGACCTAAATCACCCTGGAAGGATTTGCTCAGGAAGGTAGGTGAGCTGTGAATGTACATATGTTAATTGTTCTTTTGCAAATGAGAAGGATCATTTGAGTGAGATTACTTGTCAGTATATGGAGATTCTTTCATGTATGTTGTCCACATATGCATTTGCTCTATGCTTATGCTATGAGCCCTGAAATCTGTAAAAAATTCTGGGTATGTGTTTTAGATAAACAAAGGTGAGTTGGGGATTATGACTAAAGTAGTGCATAGTGTGTTCTGTGCCCTTTGCATCATATGCTTAAGGCACTGAAAAGACAGGACACAGGCAAATCTAAAGCATTTTTAAGGCTAAAGATGTTTCCAAATTTAGTATATGATATCCAAAGAATATTAACATATAAATACAGCAGTTTTAGCAAGTACTGGAAGTTTTCAGTAATCTTTCTCTGCTTAATAGTTTACCATTATCTTTATTTACAATGGTTTCAAAAATATACATACATCTCATGGTTACTTCCATCTTTGTGTGTTTCTCTGAAGTGATGCTCCAGGTTTATTTCTACAGCTGAAAAGGCTGAATCAATTGGGTTATAAAAATTCATTGTTCTGTGACATATTCTACTCAGTAGCACTACATAACAAAAACATGGTTATTGTAGATTTTTAAGGTGTGCCTTTTAAGAACACAGGAATGAAGTATTACTGCTGCTGTGATCTGTCTGGAAGCATTTCTTTCTATTACCTTTGTCCAGTATCAGGAGTTCTCGATACAGTTTAGTTTAGTTTAGTTTTAGTTTAGTTTAGTTTAGTTTAGTTTAGTTTAGTTTAGTTTAGGTTTAGTTTAGTTTAGTTTAGTTTAGTTTAGTTTAGTTTAGTTTAGTTTAGTTTAGTTTAGTTTAGTTTAGTTTAGTTTAGTTTCAAGGAAAGTGAAATTCTGCCAACAAATTTAAGTTTGGTCCACCCATGCTGCAAGAGAGCAGGAGCCATATGGCCACAATTAGTGTACTTGTAAATGAGTAAATAGGTTCTGGTGACAGGCACAGTGTATTTACAAAGTTCTGTTTGCCTTCCTAACCACAGTAGTGTAGCTTCCTGTAAGAGTAGTGTGACTGTGTGGCTCTGCAGAAACCTGGGTAGCGTTACTAATTCTTGGTTTATAGCTAATTTTGACTTTAATTCAACATTCACTTCAAGTATCAATTTGAAAATAAATACAAGCTGAAGGAAGGACTTATATTCTTCCTCCAAACAAATTCTGATAAGTACATAATATAAACATGGGTAATGGTTTAAGGAAAAAAAGTCCTGCTGACTGAGCAAAACTAATCACTAATACCATCAAATATTATGCACTCAAAGGCATATTTTTGTTACCTCAGTTTTAACTAAATGTTTAAGGCATTCACTAATATATGTGCTTGCTGTTGGTCTGGCACACATGAAATATTCTATAATTCAAGTTTTTGTCTCTGAAACTCTGACTATTGGAGTATTACAGAACAATCAATAATTCTGAAAGCAGCAAAATATCTTTAAACATAGATGACATTTGTTTTGTGTTTAAAATCTAGTTAAATTTGCATCATTTAACTTGGTTGTGTTTAAAGGTACTTTAAATATAGTTTAAACAACAGCCTCTGCTGAGGGCTGTTTTAGAAGATGACTGTTTTATAGACCCCAGCACTGGGTCATTGTACTTAACTATTTCAAAGGCTTTTGGTGTCGGAGGTCATACGAGTTACCAGATATTTGGATCAACTGCCTCAAGTTTACAGCTCTTTGATTTTTCTTCAGTTCTGCTTTTAAAGATAATACTTGGATTTTTTTTCTTTTTAGCCCTGAGAAGGGATAAGATTTCCTTTTTTGTTATCACTTCATTTTTTTCCTCTTGTTTATTTTAACATGCAATTGTCTACACTGCGTGAGTGTCATACAACTGGAATACCTTCTACTGAAAAAACAGGGAAAAGATCTGTCACAATGAAAGCTAAAGCTGTCACAGTTGAGGGGGGAACACACCCAGAAGTTTGCCTGCCTTGATTTCCTTCATGTGCTTTGAACAAAGTCAACTTCAGCTCGCAGTTGGCTTCTTTAGCTCAAAGTAATGTGTGTATTACTTAGTAAGCTATCATTTCTGGTCACAGTGCTTTGTCCAGTTAAAAGATCCTTCGTATAGGACAGATTTATTTAAAAAAATGCTAAAATCAGGCTCTGCACTGTTTTTCAAAAGTATAATTTATTCAGTTTCATAAAACTGAAGGATATTTTTCTTGGAGATCTAGCATAGCAAGTACATGTTGGGGATGGCATGCTGTATGAAAAATAAAGTAATTAATTACTTTGCCAGTGTGTTATGAACATATTTGAATGTCCTGAATTTCCTGCTGCTTCATGAAAATTTAGACCATCTGGATTTGGTTTTAGCTTTTGATCTTCTGCCATGACCCTTACAATCACCTAAACTATTTTTATGCTGTATGTAATACCATTAGCTATCCAAGCTTACAAGTCTTTTTCTGGCAGTAAGCTTGGTTAATTATTCTCATCACATACATATCTCCTGTGCTTCAAGTTTTGTTTAAACATGGATTTGTTACTGGGTTTAGTGTTTTTTATTTAATGGTTTCTATTTCAGAAACAGTCTCCTCACCTGAAAGTTATCACAAGATTTTACCTCAGATTTATTAATCTTTGACATACAATTGCAGGGGAACTTCAGAGCTCTAGAACCGAAGAACGGTTTGATTACTTTAAGCTTTGTTGAACAATGTGACAAACATTGGGACCTCCTTTATTCTGATTTTTATAGAAAAATTAAATCTATTGTGGTTTTGTTATATTGAGATGGCAGGCTGTTTACTGTACCTTTCACTCTCTCTAGTGATCTATGTGACAAATTTGTGCTAAGTCCCAGAAGGATCTTCTCAGTGTATCTCAAATTCATCTGTACACTTTTGGCTTGCTTGGGTCAGGGTGTAATGTGGAACAGAACCTGATGTTTTTGATATGTAGTTCAAGATGGCTATTGTTTTCCAAGCCTGTTCCAACCATGCTTCTCAAATAATATGTGTGGATAGGATTACTTTCTTTCACTTTCAGTCTTGTGTGGTATATGACCTAGAGTTGTATGATGGGGCTAGAGATCATGTGGACATGAAGGCTCGTTCTGTACTCCATGTACAGCTTAACTATACTCTGTCTTTCTAATGTGTCCCAGAGACAAAGACTATGTTGTTGTCATGTTTTGTTTCCCCTGGATGGTAGTTAACTTATGAAGTGGAATGATACAGGTTTTGCATATAGACATGCTCCTGTCATGTTTCAGAAGCATAATGATCAGAGCTAGAGAACGCTCGTCAGCACTTAGCAAATAGTAACTCTGCTTCAATTGGATGGCCTTTTTTACTGGAAAGTAGTGTTTGCTTAAATCTTGAATTAACTATTTTTTAAATTAACAGTTATTTTGTTTCCTTTTTTTTCCCCAATTCTGTCCCTAGATGGTAAAAGCAATACAAGTTCTACGTATCCACCTGCTTGAGCTAGAAAAGGTTAATGAACTCTGCAAGGATTTCTGTAGTCGTTACATTGCCTGCCTGAAGACAAAAATGAACAGTGAAACTCTATTAAGTGGAGAGCCTGGAAGTCCTTATTCACCTGTGCAATCTCAGGTATATTTCAAATATAGTTAAGTGTGGTTTTGCTTAAATTTCCTTAAGAAGTTATAACTACACTTCTGTTGCTATTAGCTTGCAAACAGAGTTTGTACTACAGTTTCTTTCACTTTCTCAAAATCTGTTATTGAGTAGAAACGGATGTATTTTTTTGTGCACACCTGTGTGCCACTATCTGATGGACATATGTTGAAATGTGCCAGAACAGAGTTACCTTTTTAGTCTGTCTTCCTTTTATGATTTTCCCTTAGTTCAACAAATGGAGATATTCTGAATAGCCTGGATTTGCTGTTTTGTTGGAAGGAGGCTGGGAAACAGAATAAACAAAGGAGGAGGGGGAAAAAAAATCCTTGTTAAAAAGGTCTCCTTAGTCTGGTCTGCCTCATTAAAATATTGAGATGACTTATACTTTTTTATACACAATCTGTATTCTGGAACAAATAGACAATGTCTAATGGATTGTAGTTGCAATATTTGAGATGTATGTCATTGCATGTCACTTGGGGTGACTGTGTATCTATGAACAGTACCCATTTCTGTACATGGGAACTTCAGTTTATATATTGTTGACATTACCTAAATGCAATAACCAGCTGCATTTTTTGTAGTAAATTGACAACAGTTAATTAACAACAGCTAGTATGTTATGGTTGATACTTCTGCTGTTAGGTGCTGGAAGGTGAGCTCTGCCATCTGAGTACCTACTAGATACTGAGTCTTAGGGGAGGGCTCTTCTCTGACTTATTAAAATGTGTTCGATGCTCTGTACACTGAAAATAATGACCTTTGAACTTCACTATCTGGACTCCTTCGGTTTTGGTGTCTGGAAGCATAGAAAGGGGAGTCTAAAATCAGATAAAAACAACTTTTAAAAGATTTTTTTTCTGTATTTGTTACAGTCTTCTGTAGAGACAGGAGCAACTGAATTTTGCATTTTTTAACAATAGAGATTATTCATACATATTAAGGAATGTGTAAAGGTTTGCATGGTCAGGGCTGAGTAATAACTGTCCTAAGCAGAGTAAAACATATTGGGCATGTTAAATATACATTATTTTGAAACTGAAGGAATTAAGGTATTAACTAAAATTCTAAAGCTTTGATGCTTGTAATAAGAGAGCATCAAGGGTCCATTTCATCTGTCCTTTTTCCCTTGTGCCTTTGGAAACTCTTTCTCTTAGTGTTTATATACTGAGAATAATTTATCTCCTAAAATTTCTCAAGGTAGTTTTATATCTTTTCTAACAGTTGCTTTCATGAGGGTTTTCAAAGGTAATGGTTGGTGATAATGAGAAAGTTAATGTAGGTAATGATGAACCTCTAATGAAGTCTTTTTGAAGTTAATCCTATGATTAAACTCCAAATGTATTTTTAGAGCCAAAACTACACAAGTATGCTTTATCTCCTTAAAAAAATTTTAAGGGGGAAAAAAAAAAAAAAAAAGCAAGCAACTAATTGTTTTATTTTTCTAGCAAATTCCAAGTGCCATTGCTGGCACACTCAGTCCCCAAGGGATTATGGTGCCAGCATCAGCATTGCAGCAGGGAAATGTAACTATGGCAACAGTAGCAGGTATGACACCGTAAAGAAAAACTGGCACTTTGCTCTTAATTTTGGTTTCTTTTATAGTTGTTACAAAAATACACAAATAGTTTTTAAAATGTGTTTCAACTTTAATACTTGAAAAGTTGTTATAATACAGTCGAGTGCCTTACTGGTTTCTGAATGTTCATTTAATTTATATGTGTACCAAGTATGTGAGTGGAGGTTACATATATAATAATAAGAGATCTTTCTGCGCAACACTACTTTTGTTAAAATACATTTCAGAGACTGGGATGTATTACTCTTCCTTTTTTTTTTCCCTCTGTTTGACAAAATCATTGCATTACCTAAAATAATTCCACTTGTTAGCTGTCTCATGCTTAATGGAGTTTGGAACCACACCTGCATGTCTGTGAAATCTTTGATATCCAAGTTGTTCTGTTATTGCATTCATTTGGACTGAAATGTTTTATCTTGCTTCTAAGCAAGGTTTTAAAACAAACAAACAGAAAAAAACTTTGACTACAAATGCAACAAAGCGATGCAGTTTGCTCCCACAGCGTATACTTCCAGAGAGGTTATCCCAAGACACAATATGTGCTTTGTGGCCTTGGTCCCAGGACCCTGTGTCCATTCACCAAGATTCTGTCACCTTAGTTGACCCGAAAGTCTAGATGTCACCCAGCTGACTGCCCTAATCAGTTGATGCACAGAGGTGTGGTTTTGGTGTTGTGACCCTTTTTGGCTGAAGAGTTAGCTCAATTAAAATGGTGAACTATTTTATAGTGTGATAGTATAGATTTAATTTGAAAATAAATTTAGAATGCCTAAAATACAGGGAAACATATGCAGATTTTTGTGGATGGAAAAAATTTTACTATAGCATAGAGCACATCTTGCATGCTTACCAGAAAAGAATAGTTGATGTACTGTCTGCAGTGTTGATGTGTTTGTGTGTTTAAAGAGAATAATATTTGGAGGTCTTTTATCTACCTATAATCTTTGTTGCTGTTTTATTTTAAGGGGGAACAGTGTATCAGCCAGTCACTGTGGTCACTCCACAAGGTCAAGTGGTGACACAAGCACTGTCACCTGGGACTATTCGGATCCAGAACTCTCAGGTTTGTTTCCTGGGCTTCACAGATTAGTATTCTGGGTTGAAATAAATCTCACTGGTCTTAAGAGTTTTAGTTTAAATTTGACAGACTATCAATTAATGCAATCACTACTCTAGGAGTTACAAGTTGTATAACATGTCATAAGGTCCCAGACAGATCTCCCTTGCCGTGACAAATCATCATAGTTCCTACTTGTTAAAGATCTTGTTTTACTGATGGCAGAAAAGTATAGGTACATGGATTTTAAAAACCAAACAAACAAAAAATCACCCCCAAACCCAACAAACAAAAAAACCCCACACCAAACCAAAACCCACTCTGAATTAAATAGATACTTTTTCAGTTAATACAACTTATCTAATTGTTGAACTAGGTTTATGGCTGGATAGATTACTATATTGCATTATGGTGCCACACTGCTGTTGTCAGAAGTTTGACTTTTTGTCACGATGGCAACCACTAGTACTGTGAAACTGTATGTATTTCAGAATTTATGTTGAGAAGCATTTTGCCTTAAAACCTTTAAAATATTCAGTTAAGACTATGAGATAAGGGCTTTTTTTTTTTTTTTTTTTTTGGGGGTGGGGTGGGGAAGACTCTTAAAGAATTTAATCTGGAGAGCTCAAAGAAACAACTGAGGAAAAGGAAACATGAAAACTAGACCATCTTAGTTACAGAAAACCTTGCTAGCTTTCTCTTGGAGCAGGAAGTGGTAAATCAGATCTTTCAGGAATCTGGAGTCAATTAAAAAGGTGAATGAGGAGTTACCATCTTCACAGCATAAAATCTGTTGGTAATCACTGACTCACTGTGTTGTCTTCTTTCTTCTTCTGACCTTCCAACCGAGAAAGCATGCTTGGAATATCCTTATCTTCTTATTGGCAGTAGAATGCATGTACTTGCCCATATTCTTCCCTAGAATGTATGCTGTTCTCTCCTCAGATGCCTTTCAGAAAGAAATGTTTAGAATTACTCTCCTAGACTTGTGTTTTTGAAGGAAAATGCTTTTTATGCCTCTGATTAAAAAATATAATGCTGAGTGGAAAACAATGCCTATAAACAAAAAAAGACTTGACCTATATATACCTGTGGCTACTCTTCATGTTGTTAGGAATCTCCAAACCCATTTATGCATAGGTTTGGACCTGTATCCCTTGTCATCCATAGGAAATCCTTCAAATTCTTCTTTTTCAGCGTTTCAGAATGCTGTGGAGGTGCTATTGAAAGTTTATTATAAAGCCTCCGTATACAAGCAGATTATTTAGAATGCAAAACATTGGAAAGAAAACTGTGCTCCAAAGATATATTTGTTGTAATTTGATAGCTTAAACCTCATTTTAAAACTTGTTTTATACAGGACATAGACATAATGACTGGCTTGAAGAAATTGCTCCATAGTCTGAAAAAACTAATTTAGAATTATTTCAGTTATAATTATCTGAAATATAATCTCATATGAAGTTTATATATAAGCTGTTTCTTCTTATCTCTGAATAAGCATTTAAGAACATATTCCCTAATGTTCAGATAACCAATGTGCAAATGATTTGATATATCCATAGGAAGTGAAAAAGAAAGCAAAAGTAAGAAAGAACTACAAACCTTTAGGAAAATAGTAAATGTGTTGTAAGGTGAATTAAGGGTTCTACCATATATATATATATCTTGTTGATCTTTGAGAATTTAAATGCATTAATTTAGCAGGACCTTTATGTCTTTGTTTGCAACTCTAGCTTCTAGCATAATAATTAGTTTTACTTAAGTCCTTCGTTTCAGTCTTAGATCCAGTACCGTTTTACTGTTTTCTCAGTTGCTTATGTTTGCACACAGTGAGTATATTCAGCATTGTATTTTTTAATTGCTCTTCACATGTGCAAATGACCACATAGAGTGACAAGGCAAACGGATCCCCAGGATAGTGTAGATTTGTACAGAGGATCATTAACGTAGGTGGATTTTATTCTAAATTACAGTAAATCAGCATTTGACTGTTGTCACAGGATCACGTACACAGCCTGATAACAGCTGTAATTCTTAAAACAGAAGTTACATGAAATGTGAAAACTATAGAAATCTGATACAACATTTTCCCTGGATAAAGACATTTAGAATGCTATTGTAGGAGAGCTCCTATTGTAAGTCTTCCCTAGAAAATAAAGTAGCTTTTTATAATCAGCATGCCTCAAGCCTAATTTCTTTTCATTCCTTCTATAAATGAGTTATTCATACATTGATACAGAATACTGCTATTACTGTGTTAACTGCCTTATTTCTGCTAAAATTATATGTGCAGCTTCAGTTGCAATTAAACCAAGATCTTGGCATCTTGCATCAAGATGATGGCTCATCAAAAAATAAAAGAGGAGTTCTTCCCAAGCACGCCACAAATGTGATGAGATCTTGGCTTTTTCAGCACATAGGGGTAAGGACTGAATGTGGTCAGGAGACCCAGGTTTTTATGTAACTCTTTTATGTGGTCTCTTATGATTTTACTTCATAAAGAAGGTGAATTTATTCTGTTGTCATTTCTATAATCTCAGTTCAGTTTTCCCTGAAGTCATTTGGAGTAATTCCACAATCGAACGTTGCTCGACTTTCTTATTTTAATAAGTAAGTTGCATTTGTACCTTGTGATCTCAAATGGGATCTTTCATCATTGTGTTGAGGACTTAATGTTCGCTACACCCTGGTTCATGGCACAAGGGAAAATAGTTCCATCTGTGGTTTTGGTTGAATTTTTTTTGTAGAGGAGAATTTCAAATTTTCTGGCTTTATCGCCTTTTCCAACAGTCCTTCTAATGCATACCAAGTGTGTTACTGTCTACTTGTCCTTTCAGCAGAATGTCTTTCTTTTGCATAAATACTTATCCTGAAAGGATAAATTAGTCTCAAGTTCTATCACAATGTTTAGTTGATTGATATCCTGTCTTTTACAACATTTTACAACAGACAAATGACACAGGGAAACTGCGTGTACGCTTCTTATGTTACGTACGCTCTCTTCATCTATTTAGTTCAGAGTAGCTTTATTTAACTAGAAAATGTATGTCAGTACCCTCATATGACATTGCCTTTAGACAGCATAACTAATCAGATCTTGTCACATGCTGTGTTGCCCAGGGATCATGCTGTTTAATAAAGACTGTCAGCCATGAGAAGCTTTTTCTTCCGAATTACACATCAGCAGTTTAATGGAATCATATACACTTTTAAGGATAAAATCAGTTTCATTTAGTAAAGCAGTCTTTGTTAAATGATTTTTATCTATAAAAGTTTGTGAGGTTTCTAAAGTTTGGTTTTTAACAAGTCAGATGGTCTTAATCTATCTAGCAGCTTTAATCAGTTGTAATAAAGGAGTCCTTATTTTTGATGAGGAGATGAAACAAGCTTATGCCTTTTTTGTCTGCTTTTTTGTCCTATTTAGCATCCATATCCAACAGAAGATGAAAAGAAACAGATTGCAGCACAAACAAATTTGACACTACTCCAGGTTAACAACTGGTAAGAGCAAAAACTCTTACTTAATGTCTGTCACTGTCTCCACATGCTTATAACATAGAGAAATAGTTAAAAGTATAACCTGGACATCTGGAGTTAAATTTGCTGGCTTACCTGTGTTACAAAATACATATAAAAATACAAGAATTACGCACTGATACACAAGCATATTATTTTTATGGTAAGGTTTAATAATACTTGTGCCCTTTAAATTATATAAGGACTCCAGAAACTTTGCAACATTAAGGAATTACGTTCTGTTCTATTGCTGAAAGAGATGGAAGTACTCTCATGTCTCTTCTGCAAGTAAATAAATTGAAGTTTAAAGGCGTTTAGTGACCTGAAGATCTGAAAAGTGTTCTCTGGTAATCATGGTTGCAAATGTTAAGAAGTTACTGTCAACAGATATGCATTCTGCTCTCCTATCAAAGGGTGGTACTTTGAGCAGTAATGTCCAAATGGAGAGTGTCAATAACTCAACTACTCTAGTTCATGGTCTCAACATGTTTTAGCATGTCTTATCTTCACTAGAGGTTTAAGATAATACACCTGCCCCTGCAGAAGAGAAGAGTGAGGGTGCCGACATGCATCCTCTTCTGCTTGTGGTGTTGGTTCCTAAAATTATTGCAGCTAAGTCCAACAGGGATCTTCCTCAGATTTCAAAGATGACGCTGGCTGCATGGCTGCAGAGGGGCTCCGGTGGGGAAATACTCAAGATAGTGGCAGTACACTGATTCCAAAAGTGGAACAGTGTAACTATGCCTGTGTGACACGGTAGTAACGGAGCTCTGTGGTACTGGGATCCGACTAATGTCTCTGCAAAGCATTGCATTACACCATGTGGACCTGCCAGCTGCACCCTACTTCCTTCCACTGCAGGTAACGAGGGGTCCTGAATATGTTTTGTCAGATTTAGCAAGGGATGCTATCCTCAGTCACAGCTCCTTGCCACATCTGGCTACATTGACACTGATTCAGTTAACTGCTTGTAGCTAAGTGAGGTGTGATTTAAGTATCTTCTTCCTGTTCACTAGCAGAAAGGGGAAGGGCAGCAATTAGCATGCACAATAAACAAGTGAAAATCAAGGAACGAAAAGGAATTGGGAAGGATCTGAAAAATATGTTTGCTATTGTCTCCTGGATCAGGAACCAGACCTTGTAAAGCCAGGGAGCCTATAAAATAAGTAATACGGGAGCTTAAGGAAGTAAATGAAACCAGACTAAACAAACTAGGTTAGGCAGGAGCTAGATTTTAGGTGAACCCTAATGAGAGGAGTATCGGCTTTCTGAGCTGTGCTGTCAGCAAGTTTTCTGGTGCTTAGTTCTTAATAAGATCTTGAAATGTACATCTGTCATGCTGTCTGAAGAATTTCCCCTTCTGAGGTTGAGGGGGGGAAATACTGCTAGCAGCAAAAGGATAGAAGTACTTTCCTAGCTAGTTTGCCAAAATCAAAGGATGCCAGTATTCTAGAAGCAGTTTTAGGTGTTAGAAAGAGTGTCAAGCCAAGCTGGTAGGGAGAAGATTTTATATTCTTAATTGTTTTTTTCCTGCTGCATACTTTGTGAATCTGAGGGAGAGAGAATTTACAGCCAACTGGTCATAAGTACTTCTTGCCTTTGATTGTGTTTAGGTTTATCAATGCTAGAAGGCGAATTCTTCAGCCGATGCTGGATTCCAGTTGTTCTGAAACTCCAAAAACAAAGAAGAAAACAGCTCAGAACCGACCAGTTCAGAGGTTCTGGCCTGACTCCATTGCCTCAGGAGTTGCTCAGCAGCAGTCTAATGAGCTCACGATGTCAGATGGTAAGGAGAACTGGCTAAACCACAGATAAAGAAGTTAATTCCTCTGTAACAGGGAAATGAAGGGTTTGATGCATTTGGGGGGAGGGGAACTTCTTGATATTTCAGTATAAATGTGGTTTTAATCTGGAAAAGCGACAGAAATGTGTCAGTTTTTCCCTCTTAAAAACCATTCTGTGTTTTGAGGGGTATTTTACTGAATTCATTTGAGAGACTGTTGTTTTTGTTTCAGAAGTTCCGAACTGACAGAACAAAGGTTAGATGGGCCAACTATGTTTTCTTAGTATGCGTACACATGTCAGTAGCATTCTGTTTGATTAGCAGTATTGGACTGCAATTTCAGTTTTGTGACATCTCATCCTGTTGGTGTTCTTTCGCTATTGCTGGAGGGACTGAGCCTCTGCAATTCTATATAAGCCTCATGTGTTTCAAGTTGAACACTGAGAAGCAGAGAAATGTAATAGAGCCTCCAAGGGTTTAGACTGATGTAACTTTCTTAGCATCAGATCAAACAAATTGACTTAATTTCAGAAAGATAAGTAACAGCTTTAATCTCAGGACCATCCTTTCTGTCCTGCCACCTGCTGCTTTTTTGCTTTCTGGTTTGTAGCAACTTTTCCCTTAGCCTCCACTGGATCTGACAACAGTTTTATCCATTTAAACCACCTTAGATCTCTGTGAACACTCCCATTTTTCTGCAGTGAATTAAGCTGGAATACTTTGCAGCAATGGGCTTGTCATGAATTCATAGGAGAATTGCTGTAATGGGTGTCCGTAACACAGCTAAGTTAACAATTCCTGGACAAATTAATTCTAGCATTTACTGATATTTAAGTGTTTGACAACCTATATAGCTTTTATTTTCATTTAGCTCCTTAAGTTTTCTTCCTGTTGATTAGAAACAAACTCTGTTATATATAAATATGTATTACTTAAGATTAGAAATCGAGAAGGGTGCTAAAGTACTACAATTATGCTTCTCCAGGTGCTGTTGTTACAATTACAGCTCCAGTCAACATGAATGTAGACAGTCTCCAGTCTTTGTCATCCGATGGTGCTACTTTGGCTGTTCAGCAAGTTATGATGGCAGGGCAAAGTGAGGATGAGTCTGTAGACAGCGGTGAAGATGATGGAGGAGATCTCTCAACAACAAATATCAGTGGGCTGGTCTTGGATAACAGCGATTCTCTGCAGTAGGAAGCAAGAGAGTGTGACAAAATGTTTAGGAAAAAGAATGAACTGACTGACTGTTTTTATAGTTTGCACAGCAAACATTTTACACAAGTTTTATTTCTAATATGTTTTATATGTAGATATAGAAGGGTGCACTTTTTTGTATTTCATAGTAAGCTTAAAGAGTGTTTTTGCAGGTGCAGCAACTTCTTTCAAATGTGTTGTTCTATCATTTCTTTTCCTTTTTCTTACTTCAGAAAATTATATCTAGTAATATAAAGAACCACATAAGCACCCCTTTGTTCTATGAATTGGAAGTGCTGCAATTTCTAAAAAGTTACGCAGTTTCAATTAGTGCTGTTATTTAACACAGCTCTTGATGGGCAGGTGATGTAAATTTAAAGCATGTGACACTAGTGTGTGGAACTTGATGGTTAAGTTAGATGCATATATTTGAAAGATGCTTCTGCACCTTAAAAACTGCTAGTCTGAGGTGGACAGCAACACACATAAAAAGAAAATGTTGATGTGTGATTCAGTAGCGAATGTATGGCAATTTAAATAAGTTTAGTTTCTCTCATAGTCCGTGAGCCTGTTTATCATTTGCTATAAAAACTCCTATTTTTACCTTGCCGGGGTTATTGGATAAAAAATATTTTTATAAATTCACTAGGAATTGGGATGACGACTGTATTAAGCAGGAGGAAAAAAAAAAATTTCCAGAGGGGAAAAATAAATGTTTAGTATTCCTATTTGGAAGGTCTGAAAACTGACCAAATTTAATAAACAAGCCTACACTAGCATTCTATGGTTCTCAGCTATCCCACAGTGATATACTATATTTGATAATAGCATAAGAAGGGCCCACTGTTCGATGGGATTTTGATATTGTCAAACATTGATTTATATTATGTGTAAACTAATATTCAGATTACATTAACTCTGTATCTAGACTTGTATCTGAAGATATTTGCTAAATGACTATTCAGGTAAGTAAATTCAAATACCCATAACTTTTCCGGTTATTAGAGAAGCTTAACAGTTTATAGTTTATACAACTGCATCTGAAAAATGAAAAGTTGCCTACTATACAGTCATGAATTCTGCTATCATTCTGCTATTTTATTGCATTTGAAATATTTTCCCCTAATGCAAAAAGACTATATCTTACGGATTTATATAAAATTTCTTCAAATCTGAAGGTCACTACCAGAATATACAGCAGGCTTTATTAGAGTAGAAAATTTTTGTGTGTCATTTAAAAACTAAAAGCTAGTGATGAAAAGGCTTTTTTTTTTTTTTTTTAAATGCTAACAGTTAATTTTTTTTTCCCCCAAAGTTTGGAGTCTGTGTCTGTCTATCCATGAACACTTACTTTTGGAACTTTGTAGTTCCCGTTGTTAAGTACAAATAGCAGACTCCAAGAGTCTCATGGTATGATCAACATCCTCTTTCCCCCCTGTCCATTTGTCACAGTGTTGGATGAGATCAAAGCCAGAACTTCCTTCTGATTTAGACCAAATCTAGTTGCATTTCTAACATGACAGGGAAGAAGACGTTAGCTTTTAGAATCTTCAGATATTGTATTTGAACAAAGGCCTTTGACAGATGCAAGTATTTAACTGAATACTTAATTTCTGCTTCACAAAACACTCAGGCATGTGCTTAGGTCCCATTGATTTCAGCAGGATTAACATGTGTACTTTTTGACATACTCAGATGGTTGGAAGTTGGTCTCTAAAGATTTTCTTCCAAGGCAAGTGTAAGTTGGTATGGTCAGTAGCGCTGGCATACATACATGGAGAATACAGACATACATGGAGAATAATACTAGTTTTCAACGACTAGTAGCTATTTTGAAAAATTGGCATTGGCTTTTACTCAACACAAGTGGTGCTTCTGCTATGGCTTTTGCTTATTCCTGGCTGCAGATCTTGCTTCTTAGTTCAAATACTGTAATGATCTACTCCAGCTGGAGTGGTAATTTCTGATGAATTTGTTTTCTTCTAACTTCTCTGCTTTGCCACTAACATGCCATGTTTGTCAAAAAGCATAGTAAATGAATAATGAAAGATGTAATTAGGAAGGCTTTGATATAGCAGAATTATGTCAAAAGCTATTGCCAAATCCAGTTTGACCCCAAAACATTTAAAAAGACAGCTATCAAGTACAGATCATGCTACTTTGGAAACATTCAACGTACTGCTGCTATAAAGGATACCTGAGATGACTAGAACTGAGAAACAGATTCTGTATTTTTCTTTTTTCGTCGTCGTTTTTGATTTAACTCCGAAGTGCTTCATCACCCCCACAGTTTCCATTATATAGTGGGTTATACGTTTTGGTTTGTTTGGAGTTTTTATTTAGCTACTCTTATTCATATTTAATAGTTCATTAATCTTTATTTCTAGCACGTAGGCAGATGAATAGTCTACTTTTTCAGGCCTATGGACAAATACTTGCTTGTCCAAATCAACCTGTGTTGGAGGAAGAGGCCATTTCTCACTATCTCCTTTTTCTCCCTGACCAGTTGATGCTGCCTCAGTTCTACCAGCAGAGCTTTCCCTAGCCTGCTTCAAGGTAGTCTAGAAAGCAGCTAAGCCGGCAGAACTGTTGGGTTAGCAAGTAGCCAGCAGTGAAGGGAAGAGTAAACCAAAACAGGCAAAACTTCTGTGGTTTGGAGATAACGGGGCAATGGGCATTTGCCCACACTTCAAGACTATGAGAACTGAGATCTTAAATTGTTTTAATACCCTCTCTTTTTTTAAGATCTACACAGCTGACTGGAAGAGAGTTCAGGAATATGTGGTTTATGTGCCACTTGGAACTCAATTGGAAACAACTAGGCATCGGAGTTTGCAAGCTTACTGAAGTTTATTTTGCAGAAAGAAACTCTTACCTGGTTAGCTTTTTTTTATTCCCCCTACCTTACATGCAGACGAAGTTTTATTCTTCTGAAACATTTGCAACCTTGTCTTCAGCTAGTTTATCAATACCTAGAAAGTGAAGTTGACAAAATTTACTGTGAAAGGGGGGGAATATGGAATAGTTTTACTGTCACATCAGAAACTGCAAACCATAGGGATGTGAATTCCTAAAACTGAAAAGGCTTTACCAGTGCAATCAAATGTATTGCTTAACATATGGAACTCAAACCTTTTCTTTTATTCTGTAGTGGGTATGAGCTGCACAGAAACACTTGTTCTTTTCACGATTTAAACAAAAAAAAAAAAAGTAGTGACCTTAGTGTTTTGATGTGTAAGAAAGATTTCTGTACTTCAGGAAAGGTACATGTTCACGTTAGTTTAAAAAGTCTTTACAGGGAAACTAACTTTAAACCCATGTATAATTCCCCCCCCCCTTAAAGTCCTATTCATATGCAATAGAACTAATTTGTTTTTAACATCAGTGTAATTCTTCTGCAGTTATGATTATTGAAACTTTTTTTCAACATAATCTTGGTCATTAATCCAAAACAGGGTTCTCAGTCCAATTTTTTCCAACATTTCTGTAACAGGCAAGGCAATTTCCTGTTCTGTAACTTTAGATAAACACTGCATTTTAGGAAATTAATTCAAAATCGATTAGGATGTGTTTTTAAATGACTGTTCCAAAGAAATAATCATGTTGGAAAACATTTAGAGTTGACAGGCATGGCTCTGGCTCTGCAGAGAGATCCTCAATCTGGATATTGGGTCAAAGTGGAGTCCTGCTGACCTCAGGGAAGCTCTGTAAGGCTGCATGTCGGGCTGCACTTATCTGCAAGAGAATCAGTTCCTTGTTCTGGTCCCTGATCACTAGTGGGAACCGTTGTAGAACCCTCCAACTTTGTTGCCTGCATACCTAGGTTTTCTTCCAGTGGAAACCAGGATGTGGATGAAGGGCTTGGAAGAGCAGCAATTCATGTTGACCTGGTGTGCACCACATACTGTTTTGATGTTCAAAATGTGGCCAGAAAGCAGACCTATGCTGCAGAATTAGAGTTCCCGGTTCCTGTGCTTTAAAAGTAGCTTCAGGTTTATGGATATTCTAGTGGAGTAGGGCCACAAAGACTTAATGCATGAATAATATATCTGTTTGTTTCTGGTAGAATTAGAAGGCAGTTCAGCTTCCTGGCTTTATGAACTTGACAGCCCAAAGGATGAAACAAAGCCTTTTCAAAGGGTGATAGTTTCATAAAACCATTAGACTTGTAGCACTTAAACGAAAAAACAAAACACCCTGGTATTTTGAAAAATTGGAACACATGCATTTAATTGTAACTATGTTGATTTAAGATTTATTTTCTGAAGCTGAGTCATCTTGGGAGAAAAAAATGAGTATTTGTCTATGCAAGACACAGGTGTCAAAAACGTGTGAATTACCCATTTTTAGGTGCTGTATTGTTATTGTCTTTCTGACTTCTGTTACTTTGATCAGTCTTTTAAATTTTTTAGCCTTATATTCAGCTTAGTTTTTAGAGCTGAATAGGCAAAATGTAATTTTGAAATCTTGTTGGAAATGTAAGTTACCATTTCCTTATGAAAATCTCGCATGTTAAACAATTAAGTGAAATGTTTTGGTTTCGTAATAATAAATTCAAACTCTCACCACCTCCTAAAAACAGAGCATATCCATGAAAATGCACGTTTAATTGTAGTGTGCAAATGATCAAATCATCAGCCTTGTGCTGAATACATTTTGATTTTTACTGTTCAGTGTAGCTGAATAGTAAAGCAGGTTTGTTTTGCCAAACTCAAAACTCATTGTGAATCCCTCCCCCCATCCGCCTTTGGCTTGTTAAGCTCCTTCAGATAGGTTTGGGGTTGTTTAATTTTTAAGTCCTAAAGCAACATGATCATCCAGTGTAAAGTGTAGTGAAATCGGCACTAATGTGTTTTTAAGTGATTGCCCAAATCATGTTATTTGTTCATTCTTGTCACCTGGAAATATAAAATCTGTTCCTTTTCTGAGACTTAGTTCTTTAGGACCTGCTGAGTGATCGCAGCTGGCTTTGCCAGAGAAAAGCAAGGTGTGAGAAAGCAATGAAATGCCTTACCAACCTTGTAGACTACTATAAAGATACTGACTTCACGTTAATAGAATCCAGGTTACGTCACCCATAAATCTTTCTGTGAGTTAGCAACATTTGGTCTACACAATCGACAATCTTTAAAATGTGAACCCTGTAACTTTTTTTCCTTGGTTGTTAAGGGATTTTGCAGCAACTGATCTATCAAGGGATAAAATTAAAAATCAGAATATACTTCATGGATGACTTATTTTTACACTACTGTTCTCTGTGAACTGAAAAAGCACATTTATAAAGCAAAGCATTCACTTTTCTTTAACATTATTGTTTGGCTGAAAGACAAATGTTTTTAAGAAATCTTGAGCACACTTTCAAACTGCTTAACCAGTTCCAGGCCAGGGACAATCCTCGGCCTTTTAATTTGTTTGGGTTTTCTTGTTTATGCAAATGAAGAAAAATGTTTTCTAGTTCTTACCAGTATGGGGATTTTTATTATGCTTTTGTAATGCAGGAGCAGCTTCAATGAAAGAATTAGCAGGTAAATATTCCATAATATGTGTGACTTCATTTTTTTTGTTGTTGTTGTTTCAAAATTGTTAATTAAAATGGCATGGACATCAAACTTCCAATAATGGTTCCAAGCATATATAGTGACAACTCATTTGAAAAGACTTCCTCTTGTGCAAGTCCCATGTGTTAACTTGCTTGGGCAGATAGATTGTAATTCTAAATTTCTAAAATCATCATGTTCTACTAGATCAGAAATCTTTGGGAAATGAGCAGACTTTTTATTACAAGATAGTGATTCCTCTCTAGCAAAAAACTCGTTTCATTCAGTGTGTATGAGTCTTACTCGGCAAAGATGAAGTCAGACATGGGTGTTCTGAAGATAAGATATACCTCTGCTTAGCACTGAAGCATTATTTATTCCTACTCTTACTTCCCCAGCGTCTGTCATGGTGTCATCCAAGTATGATCCCTGAACAATGCAGCCCTGAGCCCAATACCTCTGGCTGAAGGGGTTGTATGTGACTGTACTGCCTAGGGCTGGTACAGCCTTGTGACGCCATGCCAGATTTTTACAGCTTTTTACTTGAGAATATGTCTCCGAGGATTTTGAATCTTTTTTTTTTTTTTTTTTAAGGGTTATTCTGTGATTAACCGAATAGTATGTGTTCTGAGTAGTATGTCTTCTAGACACAGGAATATTTAACCATAAAATCAGACTGGTTTGTGTTGGGAGGGACCTTAAAAACCATCTAGTCCCAACCCCCCTGCCACGGGCAGGGACACCTTCCACCAGACCAGGTTGCTCCAAGCCCCGTCCAACCTGGCCTTGAACACTGCCAGGGAGGGGGCAGCCACAGCTTCTCTGGGCAACCTGGTGCCAGCGTCTCACCACCCTCACAGTAGGGAATTTCTTCCTTATATCCGATCTAAATCTTCCCTCTTTCAGTTTAAAACCATTACCTCTCGTCCTGTCACTACATGACCTAGTAAAAAGAGCACTCGATCGTTTCTTTGACATTAAATGAGTGCCTGAGAATAACTCCTGGTGATAACACTGTAAATAGTTTTAACTCCACTGCTGCGAGGAAGCAATTTTTTCCTTAATCTGAAGAGAGTAAAAAAACCAACCAAAAAAACCCTCAACCTGTAAACCAGATTATTTCACCTAAATTATCTCCAATATAGTGTATTCCTAGTCTGTTGGTTTTAAATTTCCCTGAAAGATGAATTTGCCTTCTTCAAGAAGGCATTTCAGGAATCAGAAGCATAGTCATAAGTAACTGATGAGCCTGTTTGCTTTTGTGGAGCACCTGTTTACAAAACAGTAATCCTTTAGTATGCAGTTTAGGGCTGTTTAAATACCTATCTGTAGAAAACCGGAGCAATATGGGAAAATAAACATGCACAGTGGAAAATGAGGATTCTGCAAAAAGTAACAGATAAGGCTGGGACACACACTAGGTAACTATTATTGTATTTATTCAAAATCCATACTTAAATTCATGCAAGTTCAGAGTTGCAAGGTGTGCAGTTAAAAAAAAAAAAAAAAAAAAAAAAAAAGACAAACCACCATTTAGATACTCTACTAATACCTGAAAGCAATGTGACCTTCATGGGTCAGATTTGGTTTGTCTTCCTGATGTAACTAAGACTTCCTCTAGAGCTTATGAAGTAATTGGGGAAAACCGATGGATATTTATCTTCTCTGTTGGTCTTTGGACTTTTGTGTCACTACTAGCACAAATCAGAGTTGTTGGGCTGCCTCCTGACCAGCACACATTTTTTTCTAAATATAAACTGAAGCACATACTAAATGTGAGTGTGGTAATAAAACTTAATTTAGAGATGTTTTTGTTAAAATCCAAGCATTTTTAAACTTGAAAAATTTTTAATAGTCATGAAAAATATGCAGATCATACGTAAGAGGCTAGTGACTGATTTACATGCTATTTTTGCTCTGCTCCCCCCCACCCCCGCAACCTTTCACTGTGAGCTGCAAACTGCAGAGACTCTCCTTAATGTCTTAACGTTCATCAAATTATGTTTACTACGCATTTCTGTGTCGCACAATTTATAACTTTATTTGGTCTTTGAGATTTAGACTACTTTCAGCAGAGGCTAGCGTACGGAAAAGGGGACTTAGATGTGCAATTACACAAGCAAAGTCAATTACTGCACAGGTACTGTTTTTTCAAAGATACTTAGGAATATGTGTGGTTCCATGGTTGAGATCCAAATTAAGGCCAGGAAGGGGGGAGAGACAATAATTTCTGTTACTGGTGTCTCACTGTATTTTTATAGTGGAACAAGAGGGTGATTTTTTTTCTTTTTTTTTTTAATACACAAAAGGACTATTTTGCACAGCTGATTCTGATTAACTTTCTTAACTTAGTACTATAGCTGGATTGAAAGCTGAAAGCTTCTGAAAACTTTGAAGAAGCATCATCAAATAAAACTCAGAATTGCAAAACTCCAGAGATTTTGAGTAACTATGTTGGTATTTGTTAGATAATATCTGTGCTGCCTTTTCAGCTTTTCAGATGCTGGGGAAAACAATACTGAGTCACTTCTAGACGCAGTGACACTTTAAGCAGCTACAGAAATAATCATTTTCCTCTAAGATCCTCCCTTTTGCTTTCAAGCAACTCTTTTTGTATTCCTATTCTTTCTCTTTCCTCCCCCCTTCCTTTCTTTGAAAGCTGGCAACAATTAATCCTTGATTATATACCCTAGACTTTTTCTGGGTCTCTTGAGCTTTTGAACCGTGAATAGTGTTGAATAATGACTCCACAAATCACTCCAAGATTCAAAGCCAGCTTTGCTGGAAAAAGCCCAACAACTTTACAGAACTGAGTTGTGGATGCTGCTATTTATGAATGCAGTATTGAAGTGGTAACTAAAAATAACCTGTCCTTAGCATAGATGCACAAGGTTAAAGCTAAATCACTTTAGGCATAGAACAATTTGTAGATTATTTTCCCAAATGAGTGTGTGTCATTTTTGTCACGTACGTGCTTTGTAATGTTTGTGTTTGCTCCAGTAAAAGGTTTTAGGCATAGGAATGCATATTTTAATACTATGCATCACAAAACATGGACATCTTAGGGAAACATGAAAACCCCCTCCCTATTAAAGCATACAAATCCTTAATTTAAAGACATTACACTTAGAGTCAGAAAAATCTGCTTTTGTTTTAAATTTCAGAAGAAAAATATATACTGCATCAAGTGTGTATATATTGAGTTTGCCCTGAAACTCCTGACTGGTAAATCTTATGCAGCCCCTTGCTGCTGTTACGTAATTTTGACTAAGATAACCCAAGTGCTGGCTCTTCTGGTCTTCCCAAAAGACAGCTGTTTTAAATGCCAAATCTCCATTTTTGGGCCCTTCCTGCCCACTGACACAAAGGAAGGAAAGGCTGTTATTTGTAACACAGAGCGCATCTAACAATTGGGACTTATCTTAATACCATGCAATAATTATTTGCAGTTTCTTCTAAAATACCTCCATGATTTTTTCACTGTGATATTGAACCAAAGGGATATAGGAAGGATTAAAAAATCCACTTCAGCTCAATGTCCTGATGTAGGTTAACTTTTACTTCATACTACTTGTCTTTTTATCTTGACCCAATTGCATGTGCCTGTGTGAGTTTAGTTTTCATCTGTGTGCTGTTTGCTGGGTAGTACGCTGCATCACTGGCACGCTGGCAGGCATGTCAGAACAACCGTATGCACTTAAAATTTCCTATAAGGAACAGATTCAAAAGGTATTGAGCAAATTCAAAAGGTAGTGTCAAATCAGTTCATTACCAACACTGAGTGGGTACAGATTAGTTAAATTAGGGGATCCTCTATGAAACCTCTTGTCACATTTTCATCCTGATCAGGAATCATAAGTACTGAACCTGCCACAGGATCAGGATTTCTGATCATTTAAGACACAACACCTAGACAAAATGACAAGCAGCCATTCCCCTGCACAGGCTTTGCAGACATGGGCTGGGGGAGCAGAGCAGCAAGGATGCTAAAGCTGTTTGGTGAACCACCCAGAAAGAATTCACTAATGGCAGGGTGTCAGGAAAAGTAGAAGGACTTGGACAAGCACTTTAACTTCTTGGCACTGGGTATAGTTGCGCCAAAAGGACACCTCCTAATGGGCCTTCACTTACCCTAATATTTTACAGCCTCACAAGGCAGGGAGGGAGAGGGCATGTTAGAAGGACTGATGCCTAAAACATGGTTCTGTTTAATTCAATGATTAAATCATTAATACACTGAAGAAAGGCTATGTTAGTTCCACAAATAACTAAGCAGCAGTAATGATCTTTTACAAAGTTATGGGACACTGAAGAACATGAACACACACATACACCCCTGACTTGATTGCACTATATATAAAAGGAGTTCTTCTTAGGAGTGGCAAATTTCAGCTTTTGACTCAATTTTCAGGGCTAGTTCAGGGAAGCACCAGCGTTTGTATGCTGCTTTGCACTTAAGAAACATGTATGGCTTCTTAGCTGCAAACATGTGCTTAGCTGTGATGCAAAACTACAGCGAGCATGCAAATGGGCAGCCATAAAACTACGCTGATGTCCATGGGGAAAATCTGAGCTGGAAAGATCTAAATAACAATACCAGCAATACTGTGTCCAAAGTGTAGACAAGCACATGGGTGATTAATACTGGAGAATCCAGCACACCACCCATTCAATTAAAGCATACCAAAACCCAAGACATTTAAACATAGGTGAGTAAATTCTGACAACTGAATGGTGTCATCTCTGAACAGGGTTTTTTTTCTTTTCTCTCTGTGCTGGTGCAGCTGTTTATGGGAAAAGTAACATCATGTGGCTACTTATTTCAGTGTCATGAAATGTAGACAGAGATCCTGTGAGACTTCCAGCCAGAGGCTGGAGGTGCAAGCTGTCATCAAATAAATCCATGATGGTGGCAGAGCAAAGACCACCTCCAACGGGCAGCTTGCAAAGGAGCCACTGGGGACCTTTTGCACAGATGTTTGATGAATAACTCCTCACTGGTCCTATGCTGTATAAAGAGCATTCGCACAAAATCAATAATATTCAGGGATTGCCATCTGTCAGTCATTCTCTCTTGTTTAAAGGTTATCAGTCACAAAAGGGGGGAAGCGGTGTGGCAGATAAGATGTGTGACAAAGAATAAACATTGTCTGCCACCACCACCCTCCCCAGGCGACACGGAGTCTACCCAAATCACTCGTGGCTCCCTCCAAACAATCACTACACTTGCAAAACTGATCAGAATGCTTGCACACTGATTTCCTTAAATGCTTGGCAAATACGAATGAGAGGTAACCCCATGGGCTAAAATACTCACACCTTGCAAGCATAAACAGGATGTTTGTAGATACCTGCACAGCATGTAATTAAAAACCTCTTGCGCTGCTGGCTTCAACAGCAGCACGGGATGTCTGGTGTCTGGTCTGTAAGGTGACAGTGAGCTTTAACCTTATTAAAAACGAAGAGGTTTTTTTCAACCAGATGGAGAAGAGCGGAGGGGTACAGGACACCAAGTAAAACCCCCTTTACTGTGACAGAAACGCATCCTCTGGGAACAGGGCAGTGATGGTATGAGGCATGGGGCTCAGCCTGTGCTGGAGCTGGGGCGTCCGGCTGGACCTGGAGCATGCCAGGGTGGGGGCACTCTCGCTGCCCGGGGAGGGTGATTGATGCCCCCCTCCCCACGGCTGAGCTGCAGTACAATCCGTGGTGGAAGAGGCGTGTGGTCAGTGTCACAAGCTCAGTGTTAGCTGACATCCAGAGTCTCCATCTAACATTTCTAGTAACACCTACCTCACCAGGGGAAAGTAAGAGGTGTTGTTCCCTAACCTTTTTAGTTGTCGCAAGGGACAAGTTTCTGAAAACTGAACTGGAAAACAAGCTCTGCAAAAATTGCTGACTGCCTGAAGATTTGGTGCCTCCTGTGGTTTTCCATGTCAAGCAGGAGCTCATGGTGGCTTTTGTGAGGCCATGTCGCATCTCTGTAGTGAGCACTCTTCCTTACCCTGCTGAGCCCTCGGGTTCACTGCAGTTTTCTGCATATCACACAGGCAGGAGGCAAAGCTGCCAAGAGCGTCAGCTCTGTGGGGTGGGTGATGCCTGCAAGTGTCCTCCCAGCAGGGACAAGACAGGGAGCTTGCCAGGCATGGGTTGGGCACCTGGCAGGGACTTCTTCATCGTTAGAGGCATCCTCTCCCTCTCCCCTCTTTTGCTTCCCCATTCCTTCAGCAGCCAGTGCAGGACCAGGGCAAGGAGGTATCCCGCCTGCCCCAGCTCCACACCAAACATAACCCATTATGTCCCCAGATCATCCCCTTCATGTGTTCTCAAACTGGCTGATGCAAAACCCCAGACCAGCGTGGCACACCTAGTCCCCAAGACCCCTCCAGCCTCCAGAGAAGTCCATGTTGGGTCCCAGCCTGCACCCACTGCAGGTGCCAGCTGAGGGCCATCAGTGTGGTGGCTGTTCCAAGGAGGACAGTGTGGTCACTCGGGTGCCCTTATTTCCCAGGCTTAGGTTGAGATGAAGCAGTCTTTCAGACATGCTGAGTGCTCATGTCTGGCCAAGGGTCACCACAGCCCTGGGCAGCGTTAGCCTCCAACAGCCCCAGTCGCCAAGGACCCTTGTTTAGTCTTGAAAAGCAAATTTACCTCCTTCCTCCAATCTTTCTCCAACCCCTCACCTGATTCTTATGCTCTTGCTGGTTTTCTGCAGTTGAATGGCATCCGACAGAGCAGTAGAGAGGCATAAGAAAAGAAGCCAGGGAGTACGTTTAATGTTTCCAGGTATATCTGGGGCCAAGGTGACTGGAGATGCTGGCCTGGCTTGAGGCCTGCCTGGCCTAAGTAGCACCGACTAATGGCATGAGGAAAGTGTATGTGTGCTTATCAGTAAAGTTTTCAACAGTATATTGGTAAAATTGATTTTATTCAGCGCCTTGAAGGAACACAATTAACACTTGTTAACGTCTCAGCCTGATGAAGCTATGTTTTTGATTACAATCTCCCTATACATTAATATATGTGTATATATCTCTATATGTCAAAGCATTCAGAAGATGCAGTTCTGCCATATTCCATGTCTGCAGCAGTGGTAAGGGGAGAGCAAGAGTGAGGAGGAGACAGTCACTGGCAATGTGGGGTGTTGCTGCTGAACTGGGACACAGCAGGGACTGACAACACAGTCAGCCCTCGGTAACTGATTCATCAAGGTGGCTGTGAAGGATCGACCCTTGACTGCCAATATCCCTACGGGAGTCTTCAAGGTTTTGCTCTGGAGGATGGAGGCATGAGAGGGGTGTGTCTCCTCTGAAGAACACAGCCATGTGCTAACCCACCTCCTACTCCTCCCACCACAAAAAAAAAAGCCTGGAGAGGGGGATGTCCGCCAATCTTCTGATTTTGGTCCCAGCACTTTGAACTTGGTGAAATAGAGGAATTGAAAACCTGGCTCCTGGGAGGTAGTTTATCCAGGAAAAACAGACTATATAAACAGACTATATAAACATAAACATGTACAAAAAGCCCAATCATCTTACAAATAAATAAATAACTGCATTGTTTCAGTTAGATGCTAGCAGCAATCTAACCTCTCATAGCCCACTTGTCATGGAACAAACCTTACAACAAAGAAAGCTCACCCACTATAGATGTTTTGCCCTGGCATATAAATGACATACAATGGGTCATCTCTTCAGCGCTCTGTGGCATGGCCATATTTGCCAAGTCCTCTAGGACAGTTTAAAGTATTTAATGCTTTTCAGCGAGGATGCCTCACAGTGCAGAAAGCCTTCTGCTGCCAGAGAGGCTCTCCTGTCGCTCTGCCCTCAAGCTGGTGGAGAGAAGAGGTTCACTCCTTGCTCTTACCACCGCTGCACTGCAGCTGGCCCCCCTGGGGGGGACAGGTGCAAATCCGGTCACCGTGGGTGGTGATGGTGCCAGCAGGCACTGCCATCTCCTCCTCGTCGTAGCAGATGCAGCGGGGGCAGCCGTCGGCCACAGGGCTGCCCACAGCCTGGCAGGTGGGGGGCAGGCGGGGGCACAGCGGGGCACAGGTGATGTCCCCACCAGGGTGGCAGGTACACAGCTTGCGGGCAAAGTCGATGTAGAAGGAGCGGCCGGCAGGGACGTGACCACTGGCGAAGCCTTGCATCTCACAGTCGCTCTCCAGGTAGGGGGGGCAGGCGCAGGGTGGGGGACAGGGTGGGCAGCAGCCCTCAGTGGCCATGGTCAGCCTCTCCACGTCCCTCTCGGGGCATGGGGTGCAGGCGCTGGGGTCGCACGTGGGTTTTGGGGCAGCGCTGCAGAGCAGGAGGCAGGTGAGCAACAGGCGAAGGGTGCCAGCGAGAGCCATGCTTCTGGGGAGAGAAAGGGGGAGATAGGTGCAAGCATCACGGTAGGCATGGGCACACCAAACGCCCAAGGTCTGGACCCCCAGGGTTTAAAGTGAGCAGGATGCAGCCACCTCTCCCCAGCGTGCCCATTAGCTGTTGTTTTTGTCATCTGCAGCTTGCTGGGACCCGGGTGGTTTGCTCTAAAACAGAAAGTCTTGTGCCCCAGTGCTCATCCTGGCTGGCTGCAGCATGGGCACTGGGTTAGCAAAGTCCATGTTGCAGCACACACAGATTTGGCACGATTGCCCTGGCCAGCAAATGGAACTTGTTCACCCCTATATTCACAGAATCACAGAATCATCTAGGTTGGAAAGGACCCTGGAGATCATCTAGTCCAACCATTCACGTAGCACAGTTCCCACCTACAGCATATCCTTAAACTCCAAATCGACCCAACTCTTAAACACCTCCAGGGACGGGGACTCCACCACCTCCCCGGGCAGCCCATTCCAACACCTAACAACCCCTTCTGGAAAGAAATGCTTCCTAATATCTAGTCTAAAACTTCCCTGGCGCAACTTGAGGCCATTCCCTCTTGTCCTGTCGCTTTCTACTAGGCTAAAGAGACTCATCCCCAGCTCTCTGCAACCTCCTTTCAGGTAGCTGTAGAGGGCGATGAGGTCTCCCCTCAGCCTCCTCTTCTCCAGACTAAACCCCCCCAGTTCCCTCAGCCGCTCCCCGTACGACCTGTGCTCCAGACCCTGCACCAGCTCCGTTGCCCTTCTCTGGACACGCTCGAGTCATTCAATGTCCTTTTTGTAGTGAGGGGCCCAAAACTGAACACAGGAATCGAGGGGCGGCCTCACCAGTGCCAGTACAGGGGTCAGATCCCTTCCCTGTCCCTGCTGGCCACGCTATTGCTGACACAAGCCAGGAGAGGGTCTGGGTGTCAGCTTGAGCACTTCACGCTGTGCTACCCACCACCTGGCAGCTCGCTGCTTGCCTTTTCCAGCCACTTCACTCCCTCACAGGAAGCCAAGGGGTCACCTCATCCTTGTTTCAACTTGTGAAGCCTTTGCTATTTCCAAATTGCATAACTATAAAGGTAAAACTTGAAAGCATGAACTCCATCTGCCTTCAATGTGAAAAAAAAAAAACAAACAACCAAAAAACAACCCACCCAAACCCCAACTTTAAAACTTTCCTGTTTTAAAAGCAAACTTTTGTTTGTTCAGGTTACTGCTTTATCCTTGCTCTAAGCTACTGTTCTGCCCCCTCGTTTCATCGATACAATTTAATCTAGCAGTTACTTTACCGTTGCTCGCAGTGGACTGATGGCTGTGCCAAGCAGCACAGACCCACTCCCCACAGAAAGGTGGTGGCAGCAAGGATCTCCCTTCCGCAGCCCCATGCCGAGAGCCCCCTCCTGACTCCCCGGCTTCAGCCACCTGGTTCCTCCGGGCTCCACACACAGACAGAGCAGGGCACTGCCATCAGCCACCATGAAGTCAAAGGTTTCGCACACCCCAACCTCTGCCCAGCCCCAGCAGCCCATTCACCACTGAAACCTCTGTCCCCACCTAGCAATGAAATCGGACTCCTGCAGCAGAGACAATTCCCACCAAAACAACAACATGGAGTTTGTCACTGGGCAGCTGCCGCGGGAACAGCTTGTGCCAGGCCACTTTCCCCAGTGAAATGTTCATCCTCCCTCTTAGTTCTGGAAAACCAGGCTGTGGGCTGGCTGAGTCGCTGCCCCCTGCCCCACGCCAAGTCCCCGTGGACCCCGGGTCCTGGTTACCCGGTTACCTGCAGGGTGGACGGCCAGGTGCTGTGGGACCCCGAGTGCTGTCTCTGGTCTTCAGCCCGCCCGGGGCCCTCTATTTATGTGCTGTAGGTGGTGGCTCCACCATGAAACACTGGTGGGGGGAGACGGGTAGGCGGGGAAGCCTCCATAACACAAAAGGTGGCTGGGCAGGGCCAGCAAGATGCTTATCTTGCTGGTGGTGTTGGTTTAGTTTGACTGACTGCTGACTAATCTGGCATCTCCCAGCTGTCTGCAGGTCTGTCATCTCTCCCCACGCCCCTCTTTGCAGACTTCAGCCAGGGTTTCTGAAGTGTCAGCATCCCCCTGCACTTTGCAGACTGCCGGGGGCATGGGCACCAGTGTCCAGAGGGAAAGCAAAATGATTTAAAAGCTCTAGCAAGGCAGCACAGGCGGAGAGCAGCCAACTCTGGGCTGATGCACCCCACAGTCTCCTCAGGAGCCAGAGGTGGGCACGGACCTTCTTGGGACACACATTTTATCTTCCTCTCCATGCAGCTTCCCAGGGCAGGGCAGCCCTCCCATGCAGCACAGTTGACACACACCATTTGAAGTGCTTTAGGCTCTGCATGGCTGTTCTCCTCTGGATTAAGCTGCAGCGAGCCAAGGCCATGTATCTCAGCAGAGGAGGTATGCATGAGTTTCACGTATGGGCATAACCTGTGTTCCCTGACCAGTGCAGGTAGCCTGAGCTCCCCTGGGGGCCATTTGCTCCCTGGTGTGAAAGTGTCTTAGCCTGAGGTGCTAATAAATTCGTTGGAAATGTGTCCCCCAACTTCGCAAGAGCAATGGGATGAAAAGCAGAGACATCTTGCAGCACACAGGACTGTGGAGAGCAGCAAGAGTTTTGGAGGCACCCGACCCCCACGCACACCCCTCGAAGCAGGAGGTGTTGGGAGAAGAGCATGGGCGGGTGCTGCAGGATCAGGGTCCAGCTCATGCACCCGAGCTGGGTGCCATGCTCAGGGCAGTGGGATGGGATGCTGCCGGGGCCTCGCCCTCCTCCCACCACCCTCTCATGGCTCCTTAAGATTGAAAATCCCCATTCCTCTGGTAGAAGCATGGGACCCCTGCACCCTGCAGAGCCCGAGAGCACTGAGCTGCACTGAGTTGGGGGGGCTGCCTTTTGTTGGACACGTAAAATACCGATAGGGCCTCAGTGGTGAGGGAAGGGAAACAAACTCGCAAGACCAGTTATCTGGAAGGGGTCGTCACTGTCAGAGGGCAGCCCTGGGGATGAGGGGAGAAGGGAAGGTGGGTGGTGGGTGAAACACTGCTAGGTCCTGCTGCTGCCACCAGCCTGTGTGTGGGCATGTGTTTACAGGTCCTGCAGGGATTTCTGCAGACAAGGCAAATGAAACCTCCCCCCCTGCTTCCTGAGGCCTTTTCCACCCCAGAGACACACTGGGCAGGATAGCACCAGCCAGTCCCTCTCAAGGACCAGTACGCCCAACCCAGCACCCTGGGGTGCAGGTGGGGCAGCACTCTGCCCTCGGCATGTGCTGTGGGGCACGTTTGCATCCTCAGGGTCCCAGCCTGTGGCTAACTAGAGCAGATGTAACACAGACACCCCTGGCCAGGGCAATGCCACTGTCAGATGTGCCTGCTGGGGGCAGGGGGCTAGGGGCCTGGGGAGCCCCTCGATGAGGCTGGCTCCAGCCCAAGTGGGGCAATCTCAGAACATCTGGAGCTTGCACCCAACTTTATTAGTTCCCACATTCCTAATTAACAAACAGAAGCCTCTGTAAATATTTGTGGTTAATACTCAGCAGTCACTTCACCCTCTGCTGAAATGCAGCTGCCTGCCCCATCGCCTGCCTTCAGCTGGCGGCCACCGCCCCACAGTACTGCTGAGGCTGCTGCTGGGAGCGCTGGGTTTGGGCTGAGCCAAAGCGGCCGTGTGGACTGAGAGGAGCTTCAGGGCAGCAGAAGTCTGGGCAGCCATTACGTGCTGTTAGCACATCATCTCTTTTTTTTTTTTTAATCAGAGCTACCACATTTCTATGCCCAGGTGAGCGCACAGCCCCCCGCATGCTCAGCGTGCTGGGCAGCAGCCTGCTCTGCAAGCATTCCGTTCAAATGCGTCAAGTAACGTGTTCATTTCTGCTCAAACTCACGATAATGCAACATGTTTTGCATAAACATACGCAATTTCTGAGAGGACAACCCATTACTGTGGCTTGTCCCACACAGCCCTGGGCACTGCTAGAGCAAAAGGAGGGCTGCCTTAAGCTCTTGTTTGCACACACACACACGCAGCAGCAGCCTAGAGCTCTTTCATTCCTGCTTCAAAGCTCTTGGGTGTGACCCAGGCATCCTAAAGCTTCCTAACTCCCTGTGAGAGACCTGCCCAGCATGCAGGGTCTTATTTCCATGTGCACTTAGAGGGGCTCTCTCTGGGGCAAGGTGGCAGTGGTCTCCAGGCACAAATAGGCCATCTCTTTGAAGATGCCCATGTCTCTGGAGCAGCCCAAGGAGCTATCTCACACCTGACCTTAAAACTCATGACCTGCCTTTGAGACAAGAGCCATCCCATTGGGGTACTCGCATCGGAGGTGGGGGATCTGGGGGTTGGAGGAGAGGGTCCCAATTCCCCGTGAAGAGGAGATCCCTGCAAAGAGAGACATGCCCCTGGCTGTTGGGTGGAGGCAAATCTCTGCTCCCCTTGCAGGCAGGTCTGGTGCACAGGAGGACATACTGCGGTTATAGGCATCAGGAAGGGTCTGGCGTGTCCCAGGCTTCAAAGTAGTCCAGATTCAGACTCAGTTCTGGGCTTCATGGAGTTAAGACTTAATCATTTGGACTAACATCCTTCAGTTTGCAACAGAGTTGCTAAAATAAATACCATACAATGAGGTTGAGATAATCCAGTTTTACTTTTTCTGGACAAATATGGTTATTGCTCTAGCAAAAACTTGCAGATCTGATCTAGCTTGTGTCACTCAGGAAACAAAAGATAGTGGAGACACTCTTCCTAAATATAAATACTTAAGCACTCTATAATTTAATAGAAGTCTTGTATAAACTAGATTAGATTGAAAGTATGGACTAGCCCACTTAGCAGCAAGCCAGAATCAAAATTGTTTCTTGTCCCCTTGGAGCAGCTCCCAAGACTTATAGAAAGATTTGCAAAGCACTTAGAGTCTTTTGACACCAAGTCCCCCAAACTGTATTTTCAATGGCAATTCAGTTTGGTCCCACAGCCCTCCTTTCACATTTGCTTTCATTTATGTTCTTTGCAGCCATGGCAAATGGCTCTTCGGACCTTCATTATCAGTTCCTGGAACATAATACTCTGACAGCAAAATTAAGATCAACCTCTCCTTCCCCTCTACCCCTCCATAATGATCTCTCAGGATATTTGTGAGATGATTGTTACAGGACACAGGGATGAAGTCATATCCCCTCTCTCTGTTACTGTATTTTGAGAAGGAGTCCACGTCTTAAAGGGGTCTGGTTCACTGCCCCCTCCCACAGCACCGTGGGCAAGACCCCTGGTGCCACCATCTCCCCCAGGGGTGAGGAAGGTGCTTTCCAAAGGCCAGCTGCTGCTACAGGAGTGATTGTTCCCCACCTGCCCAGCACCTTGTGCCCCCTGCCCATCACAGCCCTCTCCTGTCCCTTCCTGTCCCTCCTGCCCATGCCCAGCTCCCCACCTTTCACGAGCCAGGGTGCCATGTCCCATGTCCCTTCTGCTCCCATCCTCGCTGCTCCTCCAGGGCTCTGCCTCACACCCGGGGAGGGGAGGAAGAAGCTGCCTCCTTGGCCCCCAGACAGCAGGGCGTGAGAAGGAAGGTCTCTGGGGGGGGTGCCTGAAGGTGGAGAGGAGCAGGAGCATGCAGCCATGACATGGCCTGCCCCCAGCCCTCAGGAAAGCTGGAGCTTCTCATGGTGGAGACAGGCTCCGGCCCTGATGGGACCTGGACAGCTCGCGGCAGCTACAACACCGGCAGTGCATAGGTAGCTACCGCTGGCAAACACGCCAAACCCCACACCTGCTAAAATCTGGGCCATTAGCAACCATCCCTTTCCCGTCCCTCCCTCCATGTTACCTCTCTAGCCCTGGGTAGGTCCACGTAACCACACATGGCTATTAAACACAGTTTCTTTAGTTATCGTCTCTTTAGTGATATTCTGGGTGGCATTTAGCAGACAAATGGTTATTACATTACAATTTTCCCCTAGTCATTTTGAGAAACTATGAGCTGGATTAGACCAGAAGGCACCGTCGGCCGTGTGGTTCGGGCTTGGAGGGTGCAGCTGGCCCTGCAGGAGGAGTGGAGGTGGGCGCAGCCACATCGCTGTGCTACTTCTTGTCGTTTCTGCTGACAAAGGTGAGGAGGTCCACTGCTGTGACCACACCAAATACCATCTGCTTCATGAAGGAACTGCCATTTCCATTGACTGTAAGCACAGAAAATGCTAGTTTAGTGGGGAAGAAAAAAACAACAAAAACCAACAAAAAGAAACACACACACCCCCACACCCCAGCTGTGCAGAGGATGCTATTTGTTTATTAAGAGAAAACCTTAATGGGGACAGCAGCTGTCTCTGCTCTGCCTCACCAGAAATGACTAATGCAGCCTTGGTTGGGTTACTGGAATCACATCAGGGAGGTTTTAGCTGCAAATATTACACTCTCTACCAGAGCAGGAAACTCAGTTTCCCAGTTGTTTTTACCCAACCTCTGTTCCAGTCCTGCTTCTATCACCACAAAGCTTTTCAGGCCAAACTAATGAGACTCTTTAAGAGCAGCAGTGAGACACTTTCTGCTCTGTTCTCATAACATCCTACACCACCATTAATAAAACAGCATTGCAACAATTCCTTCAACTATCTGCTAAGTGTTTCCTTAAATAAAAATAAAACTAGCCACCAGAGTCCAAACATGAGATATAGTGCAAGCTCTAAAGGTGGTGGGAAGAAAGTAATAAATAAGGGAGTAACTGTGACAGCATTAGAACGCAGCTCCAGAAAAGAAAACGAGTGTTGTTTGAAAACCAGGGCAAGAGGCACTGTGTACAGCTGGCTGATATTTTTTGGTGGGTACCATTTCATTTGCAGATACCATTTAATTTCTATTGAAATGTGATACAGAATGGATTCTCATTATTTTATGACAACACAGCTGAGAAAGGAAATTCTGCCTGGCATTATTTTTGGTATGAGAATGGGAAATCAAAGTGCATCCAAGGCAGTTTTAAATGACAGAATTTTGTTTGCAACATTTTGTGGAAATATGGCTAGACTTGCAAGCCAGCCTTAGAGCTGATGGGGTGTCAGGACAGCAGGCCACGGAGGTACAAGCAGAGGTGTTGGGATGTTTGTGCACGGTGGGTTTCAGAGGCCTCGAGTTCAGCCGGCAACCCTTTGCTGGCTGTCAATACAGCACAATATTGCATGCTGCTCACCACAGAAGTGCTTTGCATGTTCAGTGTGTAATCCCATAAAATCAGTATAATTACACCCTCAGCCCTAATTTAGAAGACCTAAATGTGGGTCTTCTGACTGCCTTTTCACATTGCTAACATTTTAAACAAAGCAACTCCCTCAAGATAAGGCCAAATTTGTACTTCTAGAAGTTTAATGGTATAATTGTACTGGAAAGGTGTGTTATTTGCAGAACATCACCTGACAACATAGCTGTTTTGGTGAGGGGAGTGACAAGGTGTGACCCCTGCTTACCATGGATGTGTCAGCAATCCTCATGCTAATGTGGTCTTACTGCACGTGACTCTACAGAGTTGGTTTGCTTCACCAAGGAGGGGGTGGCTGTACAGTGGCTTGAGAATAAACCAAAGCTGCTGCTACGGCTGCTTTATTGGACTAGTCTAATGGTGCTTCCAGATTGACAGAGCATCCCTATACCCAGACATGGTCCAGGTAAGGGCCCTACTCAGATGCCCCAGGATGCACACATCAGTGTGCATTGTGCCCTCTGACTCCAGACTCACGTGCCCCTGCCACAGGGCTTACTCATGGTCCAACACATTTATGTTCACCTTTCTTGACTTTCCCTGGATCACTGGGGTAGCTATCTGATAGCACCCAGCACCCAAAGTCCCTTAACGTACTTAACATATCAATTTACCCAGACACCCTGGGGCACACAGGCATAAGGACATCTCTTGATTGCATCTCCAGAGGTCTTTAAGCAGTGGGATGCAGACTGTGTAGTTTGTTCCCTTGCACTTACATGCCTGAATTCCACCTAAGATTTATCTAATGTGACCAAATTCTCCTTTTGCCCTTGCCCTTGGGATGCTAAGTCTTTGGAGAACCCTGACTTCCCCCTTGTTTCCTCTGTCGCCCACAGTCAGCAAGGCAGTGATTTGAATTCAAGGTCAAGAGACTAAACAAGTACCAGAAGCCTGAGCCTGCAGCTGTGCAGCAAAGGCACTGCACCCCAAGCTGCTACCTACAGCCCGCCTTGGCTGTCAGAAGGGACCGGATGAAATCACATCATGAATACCTTCCCATCGCCAAAGTGGGATTCCGTGGGAAACCATGTGATGAGGGGAGGGGATGGAGCTGGTGGCTGCTTCAGCGTCACCCCAGCATGGGGGGACAGCACAGCTCCCATGGCCAGGATCTGTCCAGTGGTTTGCTGGTCCCAGGCTCCTGTGGTTAAGGCTTCCCCCCTCTTCCCTCATCCCTGTGGTGTCAGGGCAGGAAATGGGTGACTAGTTGGCAGTTGCAGGGTTTTGCAGAGCCACGGGACAGAAATCCTTCCTGCAAAGGCTCAGGGGCTGCACATGTGGAGCAGCTGCACTGATACCTACCAAACTCAGTTTGAGCATTTCCCTTTCCCCTCTCAAACATTTGTGCAAAGCCCGTACCGTGCTTCTATAGATACCTACACTGCATTTGCTCATGTACAACAATAGCAAAATGGTCGTTCTCCAGGATGGAGGAAAGCTTCCCAAGGCTGTCCTCCAGGCCAATCTAAATGGGACAAAAAGAGGGATTATACATTTTGCTTCACATTTAAAGGACAGTAGTGTGGAGCCTGACTCCTGCCTCTGACTGTAGCCATGAGCAGGCAGGGTGGCACCCAGATGGACCAGGATCAGGTGCGCCTCAGCCACCCGCACTGTTCTGGGGAGATGGGAGGGGATGCAAGCAACCTGTAAACCTGGCTTTGCTGCAGTTGAAATACAGCACTGTCTCCTGACAGCCCGAAGGGCCTCCATGGGCTAGCATGAGGTGATGGGTCCAGCTCCCCTAAAACACCATCCATTTAGCTCACTCCACCTCTGGACCGCTGCCATCCGACCCAGGCATCCCTCCCCTGCACACCCACAGGACCTGCCCTGTGTCCCACCACAGCCTGTTGCCCCAGCTTGCTGACCCCTGGCCATGGCTGGGCTCTGATTTCAGGGGGTGCTGATTCCCTAGCTGGATTAAGTCTTCTGACAATATAAGGTTGGGGGTGGATATTCACACACTTCGATCCTGGTGTGAAAACTGCGATGTCTGAACTCCAGCGGCTCAGCAGCGTTTTTGCAGGTGCCTGTCCTTACTCTCATCTTCATGATGTCACCATCACCCTCCCCACCTCTCTCTACCTTCACCTCTCTGTCTTTTCATTGTTCTCTTCTACCAGCTCCTCCCACACCTCAGGGTGGTGGTGCACCTCTCCCCCTCTCCCCATCCCTAAGCAGGAGTTGACATCAGCCACAGCCTTAGCGGTACCTTTGAGAACTGGTCATAGATGACCTTCGTAACGGGGTCTGAGAACTGTGCGTTTCCAGCCAGAACTGAGGTGAGGGTGTTGCTGAGGGTCACCATTCCCAAAATAAGTCTGTAAGGGAACAGGGAGTTTTACAAAATGTCAGACCTGAGGTAAGACACACTTTTTATGTAGGGGCTGAACTGCTCCCCTTGAAGTCAGTGACTAACTTGCTGCTGCTATCAGTGGGAGGCCCCAGTTTTCTCCTCATCTGAGCAGGACAAGAAGGTCCTTGTCCTCACCAAGCTCCTGGATTAACAGTAGTTAAAGTTTGCTATTGCAGTCCAGGACTTAGCTGCTGGGACAAGGAAAACTTGTAGGCTCTCTGGTTGTTTATTTAAGTGAGTTTTCCACCCAGCCTTCACCTCTCCTCTGGCCTCCCCTTGCCTGTGCACTGATTCAACCTCAGCTGAGTCTGGTGGGCACAGGATTTGGCTTTGACTAGCTCATTTACAGGGAGATTTCTTGATGAATCTTCGCAAGGAGGCAGATGATATTTTAAAAATATGCATCATAGAATCCAATGCAAGAGTCCCGTCACTGGGTCATTAAATGGGACTTTAACTTCATCATGGCTGCTTTTCCTATGTGAATAGCCACCTCTGTGATGACTGAAAACAGTTACCCCGAGTCAGCAACAACAGGAGCTTGGTCATATCCCTTCTCTTGGAGGATCTCAATTGCCTTTTGACAGCTGACTTCTGGGAGTAGAATGAGAGGGGCTGAGAGATTCAGTTTCTGCACCTTGATGTTCCACCACCTGTTGAAAGACAAATGACAGCACCAAGCTGTTAGTCTCTGCTGCGCGGCTGTGGGCCTTGCTCAGGGAGGCAAGGCCAGTAGAGATGACACCAACCACGCAGAGATGTTCTGCCTGCCTGCAAACCTCACCCCACTCTTATCCCCAAAGCAGTAATGCTACAAGTCCACCAAGGCCAGGTCTTGTGGAAGCCAAGATTTCCCTACACCTGGTGTTCCTACAACTCCAGAGGCAGGGCTGAGGCCAGCAGATGGCAAGGGGCTGAGCTGTCTTGAATCCAAGGAAGCTCTGAGGGCTTCACTTCAAGCTTGTGGCTGGGGAGGTCTACCAGTTTTACTTCCTTGGTTGTATCCTTGGTAGTCAAAACACAGTATCTGCAGCTCTCCAGGAGAGAGCCTGACAGAGATGCTCCTGTGACTTATGAGGGACAAGCTACACTTGTTTGCTGGAGACCATAGGCAACTCCCAATTCATCTCAGCCCTTGGTCGTTGCAGAAAAGGCAGGGCAACGCTAGAGGCTGGAAGGGTCAAGAGTAATTCTAACCAAGCATGAGAGGCCTTGGAGATATATTATGTTTTTAGGAAATAGTTTGCAATAACCTTTGGTTATAGCAACCCAAAGGAGCAGATGACATGAATAATACCTGCCGTCTGTAAAGTGAGACTAGGCGTTTTCTGAACAACCTGATTTGCCCGGTCACATGCCAACTGGCATCAACAGTTTATCTGTGATTCCCTGCCTTGAGGGGACTCTCACCCCATGGTGTCCAAGAGACAGCTGAGTTGGTCATCTTCTCTGGCTTGCAGCTCTGGAAATTTAAAATTTACCGTTCCCTGCCTGAAAAGACTTCCAGAGCTGTTTGAAAGGGTGCTTGCTACAGGAAGGACCCATCTCCCCACTGGCCCGTTGTTCTTTTGAACATCAGCTGTGCAGTAGAAAGAAAAGGTTTTGAGTGGATCTAATGTCCACCTCAGCCTTTGTGCTGAGCAGGGTTTTGGTGACCTGGACAGTTATTGCCATGTGGGAGCAGATCAGCAACTTCAGGACAGAAACAGCTCCTTTATAGACTTGGATTGGAGAACTAGGATATCTAACCACTCAAAAGAGAGGAGCTGACATTACGGCCTCCACAGAGGGATCTGGACTTAACTGCATATTTTGTAAATACTAAAAGATAATACTTTCCTTTGAAGATAATATTTTCCAGACTGAGGAAGCTGATTCCCTTAGCACAGTTTATATCGGCAGAAGTTGTCTTACCAAGGCTTGTGCTCCTGGACATCATTTAGGAAACCATTTTTTATCATCCACTTATCATTCAAAAATTTGGACCTAGAAATCACCAACAAAGAGAGAGTCTGTGAGCCTACCAGAAGAAGTCGTGCTTTGTTTCATGCAGTAGACCACAGCACTGCCCCAGGGCTCCCATGATTTTTGCAGCTGGCTGCTCTTAGCCCCTTTTAAGGTCAATGGGAGCTGCGGGTGCTCAGTAACTCTTAGAAGCATGCCAGCTATTTGCCTTCCTAACATTAGGCATGCAAGTTCAAAAACTGTAGCTTGACTGATTCCTGCTCCGTGCAGCAAGTCACTAACAAGAGGAAATAAAACCCAAGTGTCCCAACACCCAGCCCCTGGTGCTGGCCACGGTAGTATGTTCTTTGTCCCTGCTGTTTTTTTGTTGTTTTGTGTTTTTTTTTTCCTGTGAACTGCTTGAGGGAGAGTCTCATCTCTGGGCTCACTCCAGGTGCCATGCTGTCAGAGTTACTGGGGTGGTTCTCCAGCAACCCACACCACCTGGGCTCAGCAGTGATAAGTTCATGACAGTGAAGGGCCCCATGGCCCCAACCCAGGCCGTATGCAGAGAGTGCGGGAGAAGGCTATGGGAGCTCCCAACCTAACGTTGGAAAGCAGGTGAGGAAGTGAGAAACTCACATGTAGTTCCTGACGGAGTCAGGCAGGATGACGACACAGCGCTGACCTTCCTTCAGGTCCCTGGCAGCCTGCACAGCAACAGACATGGCACTGCCCGAGCTGCCACCTGGACAGGTACCAAGAAGAGAGGGACAAGTGTTGGGGTTGCCCAGGATGTAGGGCCATGGTCCTGGTGCATGGGGCACAGTGCTGCCCTGGCTAATGGCACAGAGGCTCCCAGGCAAAGCAGTAGCAGAAGTGACACTTTGTACACCAGGGCAGCTCAAGACACTGGGAGTGGGAGGACAATTGGCCCCACGGCCTTGTAGGCTTTATCGTGAGGAAGAAGTAGGGACTGAAGGGACATATTCACATGGTGTCTCTTGGCAATGGGCTTTAGAGGCAGCATCAGAGACACCTTATGAACTTCATGAACCACTTCTGACTGCAGGCAGGCCAAGGGCTGAAAGGTTCAATACGGGGACATGTGTACCACTGCTGCCCACGCTGCACCCTTCCTTTGGGTGAGGAGAAGATCATGCCAAATCTAGAGCTTCTGACTGACATATTTTGCTATCAAAGATTGGCTTTAAATGCATTGTAAAGACTGAAAAAACCATAAACATTACATTCATGCTTGGAATACCAGGCCAACGTGATGGGAAGACTTAAATGCTCCCTGTGTCTGTGTGCACGCATGTGGTTTGCTGCACGTAGGGAAAGCAGGTCCCTGCTTTACAGAGGCAATTCTTCCACCAATAGTTTGACTACTGGAAGTCAAACACATTCCACTATCTGTGTGCCAATTACACACCGCATTCAAGGCAGCACGTATTTTACAGCAGGTTAATTAGCACTGGGTCACATTTTTCAGACAAACGAGGAAAGGCTCTGAACAATGCAGTTCAGGAAACATGAAGCTATTCACAAATTACAGTTGAGTTCAGCAAGGGGTTTCTGTTGAAACACAGTGACTCTGTGCCTGCTAGGTTAAATCAACATTTAAGTCTTTCATTACAAATGGCTTGATCTTTTTCAAAACTCCCTTGGTGTGAGCGCTCAGGACTGTTATCATCTGTAGCTACAAGACTACTATTGTCTGGTCCTGGATGCAAACCTATAGCTATTTGATCGGTGGCAGGGAAGGCAGAAAAACTGATGCTGTGTAGAGGCTCTTAGGGTACAGGCAGGGTTTGTCTGGGGGCACCTGTTCATTTTGGAAAGCTGGTGGGATCACTTACAGCTTGTTGGCACAGGCAGAAATACTCAGTAAGAACATCTTACACTTTCTTTACTTTCAAACTGTCCTGGTCCAAACCTGGCACCTCTAGCGTGGCAACTGTTCAACGACAGAGAGTACAGCCTCACAGAGTTGTTAGCAGAGCGACAGTTTTAGCCCACCTGTCCTGCCCCAAGTCCCATTAATCCTCTCTTCAGCCCATGTAATACTACACCACGCAGAGTTAGGCCTGAAGATCCAGTTCCATGTGCAAAAGTGCTCCCGTAAGAGGAGAGTTATTGCTTCTATAATTATTGTGGCCAGTGAGTCAGATCCCAGACTACAGGCTCTACGGTGACCTACACACAAGCTCAGAGTTTGGCCATTCAGCTCTGTTAACCTAGCAGACACAAAATGCAGAGAGCACCTACCCCGAAGCATTTTGGTCCCAAAAGAATGAGGTTCAGAAAGTTTGTTAAGAGAAGAAATTGTTGTCATTGCTGCTTACCGCACAATAACCCCTCCTCTCTGATCAGCCTGCGAGACATGAGGAACGAGTCTCTGTCATTGCATTTATACCACTGATCAACCACCTGAAGAGAAAGCAAGAAGGTTGGGTCTTGGTTGTGTTATTTCAGGCTGTCCTGACCCTCTGAGGCACGCTGATATGCTGATGCCTACAACATCTGGCAGCTTTGAGCTGCTTTCCACAAAAGCAAATGTATTTGTCAGGGCATCCTTGGTCCAGGGGGTGTGTCTTTGCTTGCAGGCACCCACTCTAGTCTTTCCAGCCAGCACCCTTTCCTTGGAGAGTTAGGGATGTCTGACAGGTCCAGAATCAGGATGCGGAAGAGCAAGTGGCATTCATGATGTCCCAGGCTAGGCTAGGCTAGTGGTCAAGATTTTGCCAGGCAAAATTAGATCCAACTACAAAAAGAATTTTGGGTTATTAACAGTTCACAGTTCTAGTCATGTGCCAACGGCAGAGATGTGGTTAACACAAAACTGAAAGCAGAAAAGAATCTGAGGTCTGAAGCTGTGGGGGACATTTCTAAGATCGAGACCAGGGAACACAGGCAGCTTGAATTAAGGCTTTAAAGCTCTGTGCTTGGTGGCAACTGATACACCAAGAAGAAACTTGACAAGAAGCGGTATGAGGTTCATGATTTGTTGTCCTATATGGCTTGGATCTTGTCTTCCAGCCCATAAATGGTGCAAGGTTTCTGCCGTGTGCGTGTGGTGCCTGCGGCAGCAAAGGCTCAGGAGACATGAATGTGATGAAGACAGCCTCAGCGCTGACCTCTTCTGTGTGACTCTAGTGAGAAGCATGCTCTGAACATTGGTGAGGCTGAGCTGAGGAGCCTGGTACCGTGGCATATTCCTCGTTTACTCCTGTATTTGCCTTCTCCTTGTAGGTGAGTTATAACCAGATTTACTCAGAGAGATGCTTTAGTACTGGGTCCCAATCCCCCCACAACAGCTCGTTTTTCATCAAGAAGGTACACAAGTAGCCTTAGGGCTGGGCCACAGCTGGGTGCCAGAACTGGCTGGCTACCTCTGAACTTGGGAACAGGCTGGATGCAAAGCCAAAGATCAGACAGAAGCCTCTCATCACATGGCTACTTACTGATCTGTCAAGGACAGTAGGGATAAAGTCATGCCCAATGCCCTCCACTTCAATGACTGTGGTGTTCGTCCTGTTCATCTCACTGGGCAGAGCAACGATGGAGCCGTCAGGATCTACACCAATTATCTTTGAGGGAAGGAAGTTTTGTTAAACCAAAAAAGGGATCTCAGAAATAGTCAAACACAACTCAGGAAAAATTACCCATGCCCTTATCAGCAACATTTTCCTTCCCATTATATTAATTAATATTCCTATCCACTGGCAGCATGGAGACCTTCCAGGATAAAAGGGTACAGTTTCCCACTGGGTTTTTAAATAGATCCTAGCTAGTGTTCAGCTGCTGCAGAAGTGGCTGGTGGTTTAAAATGTTACCACTCTCAAGGTGTTTGTCATCACCCCTTTAGCAGAGCCTGCTACTTCCAAAGATCAACCCTTAGGATAGCAGTTCTTACTCTGCTCCAGTGCAAAGCCATTCAGCTAGCTCAAACCTGTGGAAAGCTGCAGCTACACAAACATCCTTTCTGGATCTAGTTGTGCTGGCTGACAGAGGCACCATCCTGGTTGCTTATAGCTTTACATCTGGGCTGAGGTTGCCTTCCTCAGCACACAATTTAAGAAAGGATGGTGACACTGCTCCACATGCAGCTTCAAGCAGTTGGTGAGGTAATCTTATGCACGGGTCCTCCCATGGCTGGGTCCACACCATCTTGGTTTGCCTCTGGTGGAGCAGGGATGGCTCACACACTGGCTACACCTGAGAAGCAGTAACTGTCAGGCCTCCAGTCTGCCTTGAAGCACAAGCTCTCCGGAATGAGCATCTATGACTGGTGTCAACCATGAAGCACGAAGGCTTTTGCAATGGCAGACAAGAAGCACTTGCACAGTCTGCATGTCCCGCAGAACCACCAGAACAGAAACTTCCAGCAGGCAGGTTAACCAGGAGCAGTAACGCTGTCAGCAGGGCCAGCCACTTCTGTGGTGGATGTCTGACAGTGTCCTGCAAAGGGCAGGGCGCCAGGCACGATGGCATTAGTAATGGGGCTGTGGAGCCTTTGACTTCTAAGGCACTCAGATGGATCTAGGTCAAGCTGAGTGTAACACCAAATTGTTTCCAACAAAAGCCAAGCTCTCTGTGAAAAAACGTATAGGTGGAGACAACAGCTGCTAGCTCAGGTGAGGGTTAGGCTCAATCAAAAGCACGGCAGGAAAATCCAGGGGGGCCATGGCTGCCAGCGGGCAGCCCTGCCTCCCGGTTTACCTTGCACTCCGGACACTTCTCCTTCAGCTTCCTGGCAACGCCAGTGACGGTGCCTCCTGTACCAGACCCAATCACCACCATGTGGACCTTGCCTGCAGGTCAGGAAAGAGGGAGGCTTGCAGGGACTCAGCATGGTCTCCAGCATGGTCTCCCCATTATTCAGGGGCCTGCGCAGATGCAGAGCCCATGTCCCCTCGGCTCCTAGAGCCCCGTTTGCAGAAAGGATAGGCAGAGGTCATGCTAAAGGCCAAAGCATGGTCCTGTGGACAAGCTCAGATGAGCCTGCAGGATCTGAGCACAGCTGATCCTGCCTCAGCACAGGGGGCTGAAGGTGACCTCCAGATCTCCCACTGGTCTCCATGATTTCTCTGTCTTTGGCATCTACAGGCTTAAGGGGGAGGGAGTATCTCAGCACTTCCAGCCCTTTCAAACTGCAGCACGTGGAAGCAAAGCATGCACATGAATAGAAACACCTATCAGTAGCGGGCACAACTTTTTAGCTAGAGTTAGCATCCACAGCGGAGAAATGGGGAGAGATGGCAGAGCTCTGCCCTAGCACCCATGTTGGTCAGATGTAGCCCCACTGGCATCGCTAGAATTATACTGATTTAGGACTTGTAGGAGCACAATCAGAGTCAAGCCTTCAGAGCCTTATGCTGAAACTGCAGTGGGAAAAGGGGACTTGTAATTCACTGCTGATAGCCAGTAGGAGCAAATCTGAATGTTGTCGTGGAGAGGAGTCTGGAAGTCTCTTGTTCCTGTTGCTACCCGACTGCTTAACTGTTATGATAACTGGTCTCCAGTTAAAACCCTTGAGTCCTGTTTGCATTGTGCAGTGCTCCCAATACTGGCAATAATTTTCACTTCTATCTGCACAGACGTGGACTGGGAGAGTCCTCCCACAGCCGTCATATCAAATGTCATTAGTCTGTGAAGTTTCTGTCTATTTTGATTTGCAAATGAGTGTGCAGGATCAGATGCAGCCTGCCATGCCCTGGTGGATTTATATTCCCCAGTGAGGCCTCCAGGGGCATCTTGTGTTCCCAGCTGACAGCTCACAAAGATGTTTTAGCCACTGAGAGACGGGTTCTTCCTCCTTGCATACAGTCTGAATTCGCTAAGCCTCTAGTCTCCTCCCTTAGGCTTTTGAAATGGGAGGCCATAGCACGAAAACCCTGCAGGCTCAGGTGTATCTGGAGTGAATTATGAGAGGTTGCTACACTCTCTGTGTTGGTATTATTAAGGGTGCCTTTTTGGCTGTTTCTAGACATTTAGGTCAATAAATGATGTAAAATAAGCCTCTCAAAAGGGGCCTGTAGCCCTCTGCACATCCTCAGCACATAGAAACAACAGCGCAGACGGTACCTTCACACTGCTCCAGGATCTCCTCAGCTGTGGTGTCGTAATGAGCCAGGGGGTTGCTTGGATTTCTGTACTGTTTATTTCAACAGAGAACAGCATGAGTTACTGTGTGAAGTGTAGGTCAAATACCAAACTAGCAATAACTCCTGCCAAGCTTTACCCAAAGCATGCAACTTCCCCCTCCTCTCCCTGGCAAAGGGGTGGACTGCAACCCGGCCAGGCCAGGTCACAGGTATTCCTCCTGGGTGTCACTTTGTGACAGATTTCAAAGGACACGTGGAATTTGTCCACACTAGAAGATTAAATGTGCCCACAAACACTCAATCTCTGGCATTTGGTGCTTATTCGGTGTGGGGATGGTGCAGCTGTCCCATATGCTGCATTGCCAGGTTTTGTGGAGTCTGGTGGTTTTGTCAAAGCCCTAGCTGCCAGAGGGGAGAGAGCTCCTTGTTATTTTAGTTATTGCTTAAATAGAGACATTTTAACTTTTTCTGCTGCCTCAAAAAAGTTGAAAACACAGCCCCACAATACTCCTAAAAAGCTCAGGAAACAACAAAAAAAATCTTCCCTCAAAAGCCGTATTAGAAAACTGTTTTCAAGTATCACATCTATATCTAATTTTGAGAACTGCTTTGTCATTTAAGGGTATTTGTGGTTGACAGTGCAGCAAGTTAGGTGGCTGGGAACTGTGGGCCAGAGAAGCTGTCCTACCTGTACAGAGGGATTTACCAGAGGGGTATGCAGGTACAGCACTGAAATGTGTGCAGCCCCATGTTCACGCCCATAGATCAGGCTGCTTCTGAAAAGCATATTCAGGCATTGAGCTCCCTTTTTCTTAAAAAGAAAGAGTTTCCCTGACTTCTCTGCACTACAGGGGCTCCCTACTCACTATAGGGCTGCCTTCCCGCAGCGGGGTCAGACAGTGGAGTGCCCTCCCCTACAAGATCCAGTGCTGCAGGAACTGCTGGCGTGAACTATCAGTGTTTGCCCTTTACAACATGAGGATTATTTCTGAGGCAGAACAGAGGCTGCTAGCCAGGCATAAAAAGTAATTTTTTTTTCAGGTCAAAGTTAAATCTGAAGCAATTTGAGGAGTCTTTGAATTGTGCAAGAAAACACAGCCTCGCCCACATCCAGGGTTTGGCAGAAGTATTACAGGCTTGGAAGTGTCCCTTATTTTGTTTCTGTCACCCCATGCTTTACAGAGGAGTGATTAAGTTTCAAACGCCATAAAACACTGATGAAATCTGCCTCCCTTGCCAGTTTGAATGAAGCCCCCAAACACCAGCACGCTTGAAGCACATGCTATAAACCATGTTTGGAATGAGAGTCAGTGGAGGAACAGCATTTACCTGGTCAAGGATGTGAGAGTTTGGGATTTCATTTTTCAGCTTCCAGGCAACACGAATGTTAGACTCCGGGGCATCAAAGCGGGTGCATGGGGTCCTCACAATTTCAACACCCAGTGCCTTCAGAATATCGACCTTTGGGAGGGAAGAGAGTAGATGTAACGTAACTGATCCCACGTAGCAATGGTAATCCAAACCTAGGGGCTCATGGCAGCACCAGATGCCAGAGGAGCTTTGCATGCAGGAGACATTTAGCATTTGAAGATGCAATGTCCGATTCTCAGTTACACTATCTCTGACATCCTCCTGGCACCCAGGGCCTCCTGTCTGAAGCTGGCACAGAGATTAAAGCCTGGCCTCGTGCCCTGTCCTACTCGGAGGGCAGGCTGGGGACACAGCAGCAGTAGGTAACACTATGCTGCTCCTTGGTGCCTGGGGGAAGGGGCAGAGGGAACCAGGGTAGGGAGCAGCATCTCCTATGTGCTGTGATCTGAGCCCTTGCATGCAAGGAGGAAGTCTTAAAGCTGTTTTTTCCCCAAGTCCCTTCTCTCCTCTCACGAATCATGGGGAAGGAGCAATTACAAATCAGCCCTAGGGTATTAATCCACTGGGAGATGTGGCTGTTGGGGGCAGAAGGGGCCAAAAGAGAAGGATGTGTGAGTCTTGGAGCACCTGGAGACGAAGCCCATGGCAGCTGGAGGTGTCATCTGATCCAGACTAAGTTTAAGTGAGATTTAGGTTAAAATGAGGGTGGTGCTTTGGAGAAGGGCTCAACTTTGAGCCAAGTCAGAGTCCAGATCTGGCTTCACTGTCATGAGTTCAGCTGAGCAGTTTGTGAGACTTTTGGATCCCCAAGGCAGAGTTTCTGCCACCTCTGGGATAGCAGTTTTACCTGATCATCAGCTCTCATGTAAGTGACTTGACTTCCATCATCTCAAGAAAGCAGCTCAGAAAATCATAAGCATCTCCAGGTTAAAGAAAACAGTAAAGACACAGAGACCAAGTGACACGTCAGACGTCAGAGGGGAAGTTAGCACAGGACCAGCCTCTCCTCTGCTCCATCCAGCCCTTGCCCTCACAGACAGCAGATATTGCTCCATTTCTTTGCAGCCACGCACCATGTTTGTCTAACACATGACCTGAGCTGCACTGCTGACTCTAGATAATCAGCCAGGCCATCACAGTGTTCTTTTTATTCGTCAAGAGGAAATCTTCTGAATAACTACAAAGCTATGTCAGTGTGTGCAGCAAGGTTCATCACCCTTTAAAGGAGAGGGCACTCTGTCTCTAGAAAGGGAGAGGCAGAGAGAGACAGGCAAGGAGATGTTCCCCGGCTGTGTGGTATTACTGTACAGAGCTCTGACCTTCTCCATGCTCATTTTCTCCGGCAAGACAATGATGCAGCGGTAACCTTTCACTGCAGCTACCAGTGCCAGCCCGATTCCTAGGTGATGGGGAGGAAAGGGAATTGGTTGACAACAGCATTTGACAAGGCCGACCGACGTGCTTTGCTTCCTACATTCCTCTCTCCCACCAGTGAATATAACCTAGAAATGTTCACTGATGAGCTATAGGTGAGGGCATCCTCCACGAGCCTCTTGGGATGTTCCAGGAGTGCCAGGGAGCACAGGGGGATGTGCTAACAGGAAAGCTGAGCTGCAGTATTCCTCTTGCTCCCAGGAGTCTGTTAGCATGGCACAGAGAGAATGACAAGGCTGGGAACCCCTTTCCTCACCTCACCAAGGGCCAAGCCTCTTCCTTTGTTTTCTGAAGCACAGGGGAGAGGTAATTTTGCTTCAGGAGTGCCTTCCCCTCCACCTCAAATGCTCTCAGTTGGACACACACACACACACACACACACACACACAAAGCTGCACATGTCACCCTGAGGAGAGCAGGTGAAGGGGACTGCTGCTCCAACGTCACTGGGGGTGATGGATGGAGCCAGCTGCTCCCAGCTAGAGGAGGAAGGTGAGGTTGGAGCAGCATGTCCTGGCAAGAGGCTGGAGGGAGCACAGTGACACCCCAACTGCCCCAGATGGGCAGGGAGCCAGTGCAGCCAGCTGGGGAACAGCCCTGGGGGCACACAGGTCCCCTCATCCCCTTGTCTGGGGGGTGCTGGGGCGAGGAGGACTGGCTTTGAGGTACCTGCAGCAACGGGACAGTAAGGAGCAAAATTCCTAGAGATGAGCCCCGTTCTGCATGGCTCATGAGAGAAAGGTGGGGAGTACAGTGAGGGACATGGCCTCAATTCTATCCAGAGCCCTTGACAGCCTGTTTTGCAGGAAAGCACGCTATGCACATGCATGTGGTGGGAACACTGGTTCAGGGACCAGCAAAGGGACATGTAAACTTGCATTGATGGTCCTGTGCAGGCTGCAAAAGAGGAGAGAGGCTCCTCTGGTCTCCTCCTTCATCTCATACCCCACCATAATCTAATGCCTGAGCAGGATGACAGTGGTAAGGAAAATAAACCAGATGATTTCTCTTCCAGCCCATCAGTGAAACTCTTTCTGGGAACCTCTGAAATTCAAGAGCTTCCCCGCCTGAAAACACCTGGGGTTGCCCCAGCTCCTGAGGCTGTTTGCCTTGCCACAAGATAACCTGCCAGACATGCCTGTCAAGGCATGGGACCCTCGTGGGACCCTCGCAGGCCCTTGGGAATTTCAGCATCAGGGCATCTCAGTACCCTAGGATGCCCACGGCCACTGAGAGGGGAGCTGAGGGGAGGACAGAGCCAGAGCTTCAGGGCCCCAAGCTGACCTTGTAACTGCATGTGCAAGAGCTCCTCAAATCCCTGTTCCTCCTGCAGCCCCTTGGAAACACCACCCTGCCCAGGCACCCCTGGGTCAGAGGGAGCATCCCTGCCCTTCCCACCTGTGTTTCCTGAAGTGGGTTCAATCAGTGTGTCTCCTGGTTTTATAATCCCAGCTCTCTCTGCGTCTTCCACCATCCTCAGGCTGATGCGGTCCTTCACACTGCCTCCTGCATTGAAGTACTCACATTTTGCCACTAGAAATGAAAAGGGAGGATCCATCAGGGACAGGCTTCAGCCGGGAGCACCAGTTCCGTGATCCCCCAGCCCTCAATGTAGTCATTTGAGGACACCCATTCCTCCCCTGCGGGATGGTCCTTTGCTCAGGGGAGCACAACCACCATCTGCTTACAGGGTGCCACAGCTTGTCATGGGATTACCCACAAGTGTACCTGCCCATAGTTCATCTTTCCCCATGTTTCATCTACCTGCAGCACCCTGAAGGCAGTGAGAAGGTCTGGTAAGTCCAGAATGGGTCTAAAATCAACTGGACATAGAGTGATTTCTAGGTGGAAGACCCCACACCAGTATGATACACCTTGCTGCCCTGCCTCGAGGACATTTCTCTGAGCAAGGCACTGTCAGGGTTAACATCAAGGTCTCATGGTCTTTCCTGAGGCATGGAAGCTTGTTATTATTAGGTATCTAAAAACGTGCCCTTCTGTAGGGATGATTTGTAGTCCTGAATGGGGTGCCATAAAGAAAAACAATAGAAAAGGTACTTTCAGGTGTCATCCAAAATTATGCTTTCTTAGCCAAGCTACCAAACCCCAAGTAATGGAGACTTCCCAAGGTTCACTCAAACTCTGTTCCTAATCAGGCTTTCCACACTGCTAACGCTCAGGGCAGGACTCTTTGCACCAGGGTTTTGATGAGCATCTACATCTGAACTGATGGTACTGAGGTCTGATTTACAGACAACAGGAAGAAGTGTGTGCTTTTGGGGTATCATTCACTTTATCCTAGCAGAGACAGCTACTTCAGGCTGACAAATCAACCCAACACTTGAGCAGCCACAACAGCGGGGTAAAAAAAATCTTATGCTCATCATTGCATTTTAGAATGCCAAACTGCCAAAACTTCAGCTACTCGAGAGATTCCTGGAGGCACAGAGATTACAAGGTAATTGCGTCCCACCATATCTGCTTCCTTGACACATCACTGCTGCAAGCATTCTTATATTTTCTTGGTAAAAGGTTCTGTGCTGACCTGAAGCTCAGAGGGTAGTACCATGCAGCCACTCTGCCTGTCCTGCTCTCCTTTCCCTCCTGTGCCAGGGGAGGGAGACACCATCCCAGCAAACAGGGTCTGCCCGGCCTCCCCGCTGCTGTTTGCGCTCCCGTTAGGCTCCTTCCCCAGCCAGACATCCTCCAAGGCACAGACTGCTTCAGAGGGGGACCCCACACCGCAGACCTATCCTCCCACCTCTGCCACCTCCGTCCACTTTCCCCTACCATTCCCTGAGGCCTCATTCTGGGAAGCGAGAAGCAGTGCAGCATAGAGGTTGCAGGGTTAGGGGCCTGAGGATCCCAGACCCTGAGAGGGGATCTGGTCAAAGAGCACTGCATGCTCCATGCGGCTGTGTGCCCACAGAGGCTGGCTGCCAGGTGGATTCCCTGTTGCCACACAGGACCACAGGGTCCCGCTGTGCCCTTCTACTGAGCATGAGTGCTCGCCAAATCTCCTTCCTACCCAGCTATGTGACACTCATGAACCTTACTGCCTGAATCTTACTGTCCTTCTGCCCAATTTGGCTGAAATTAATAGGGTTAAAAATTACAGGAAAGGAGACTGAAAAGTCCATATATACAGAGACAGCCTGATCGTATCATCCTTATTTCTGTAGGTGAGCAGGCTAAGAGTAACCCTTGTATGAGACGGCACCAGCGCTATGCTAACATCCCCTCAGGGGAGGGCTTGGGTCCTGCTGGAAAACCTGGCCCAGCAGCCAGTGCCTTGGCCTGGCTTTTAGCACCAGAGGCTGGCATGCATATGGTTGATAAACCCAGCTGTCTGCAGTCCCCACTGCTCTGCCTGGGGCTGCCTTTTAGGAAGGTCCCCAAGAGAGGCTGTCACTGCCCCTGTGACAGTGATGCAGCAGACAGGCAGCGCCTGGCCCGGCTCCAGCTGACCCAATGGAGGTGCCACAGCAGAGCAGGTGACCCCTGCATGGGAGCAATGTCTGGTGGCCAGGGGCTGTGCTGGTGTGTGTCCCCAGCAGCCCAAGCTGCTCCCTCTGCCCAGGCAGGCTGCAGGAGTCCTGCCATGCCCATCGCCCCATCCCAGCCACCACGTTTTGGGAAGGCTTGGCCAGTCTCTCTTGGGCACGCCACATGCTACCCCAGGTGCTGCATGATGTTATCTGCCCATCCTCAAATTCAGACCAGCTCTGCTCTGGGCTTATGCTGCAGTTATTTAGGAGAGACGCCTCCACTACCAATAGGTCCCTGCTCATTGCAGCTTGAAATCATCCTGTTTGGTCTGACAAATGACTGTAGTATAACCTAATAAGCATGAGTACCCAACACGTGCCACATCTGGCCCTCCCCATCTGTCCTTGCTCTCCACAGAGACTCTTCCGAAGCCCCCCTCCAACACCGCCCCTCACCCTCACCTCGTGGCACGGAAAAACCGGGTGGAAAGGGGACACTCACGGAGCTCACACTTGAGCCCATAGGACTTCCCAATCTTGTTGACTCGGACCATTGGGGTGCAGCCAATTTTCTTCAGGATGTTGGGCAAGATCTTTGTTTCTTCTGGCCTGAAATAATGCAGAGAGGTGAAAAAAAAAGTCAAATCAAAGCAACTGTCATGCAACATGAACCAAGATAAAATCTGAGTGAGGTTTCAGCAACTTTATCAAGGCCACTGAGAGACACCCCAACTCCAAGGAGAAAAGTTTCCCATCAACAATTAATGTCAACAGGAGCTAGTTATGGTTTTCCATCACTCTTACAGAGAATTATTAATTCTTTTGCATAAAAAATAAGATAATTAATTTTCAGGGCTTTTCTGAACTGTCTTGTTCTGCAAGGCCCTGAGCCAGGACTATAACTCAATGAAGTGAGAAGAGCTGACAAGCCTCAGGATTTTATGTAGTGGGTGAGAAAGCAGGAGGACCATGCACAACACAAGACTCCCCCTTTTTTCTCTGTCCTACCCAACACCACTTCTGCTTTTCACATTTTCAGCTATCTCTGTTACTTGCCTGGCCAGGACTCACAGACTTGCAAGAGTGGCTCCAAGCCATCAGAAAGGCCCAAGCCACAGAGGACTCTGGAGGGGTTTTTGGCAATTAATTGAAAAAAGCTCTTGGATCAGTGCAATCCAGCCTCCCAGTTTTGCTAGTCTCTGTCAGACTCCAACAGAAGCCAAGAACCATGTCGCAGCAATTGCAATCAGAATGAAAAAGACCTGTTTGCACAACACAGAGCTGAATTCATCGTGCTATGCAGCCAGGGAACTCGTGTCCTTACACTTTTTAAAAGATGGAGGGAAAAGACTGATGAGGGCTGTGTTTATTGGGGCCACAAATGTACTGCCCCTGGTTGATAGCCAGCACACCGCTCTCTTGAGTGGGGTGACAAAGCCCCACCCCCAAACTGCTCAGCTCTCCTTTGAACAGCTCTCGCCTACTATCATCCTTTGAACCTTGAACCCAAGTTATCCTTGTCTGCTATCACAGCCGGGCAGATGGCTGTCTGCTGACAGAAAGTCCATATGGTGCAGGGTTGACATGCTGATTTACTGAAAGACACACACACCTCCTTCCAGGTTTTGCAAGCATGATATAAACACTTTTTGCTTTGCAAGAGTACAGGGGTAGTGGTTTAGTGCAGGTCTTTACTACCAGAAGGAGCCAGCCTCCTTACATCTCAAGCCCAGAAATAATGGAGTATGAATCCGAAATGATGCTGTTACTACCTCTCCCTCCATGGAAAGTGTAACTGCGCACATCTCAACCTCTATTGAGTGCTGGTAAATGTGAGGCAATAACTCAATAAATGAGGTTCCCCCACAGCTGCAGCCATTTTCCATCTGCTCTAAAAGCCACCAGAATGCTCAGGGATTTCAGTGAAGTTGAGCCATGGCACGAGGAGACTCCAGCTCCTTCAGGCAGCTTTTAAGTAGAGCTTGGCTTTCAAGAGAGTGACCTGCATATTACATTACAAATCTAGATTGCTGGAAGTCGTCAAGAGAAGAAAGCAAGCCCATTTATTTACCTTCAGCTAGTAATTGTTGTAAACAAGATGCTACTGTGCCCTTTGAACCCCAGCAAGAGGCGATGTGGCACAGTGAGGTGCTGTGCAGCTCCAAGGTCTGCAGTGATGGAGCCTGGTGAGGGGAGGGGAATGGGGAAGGCAACCTGTGCTGCCTTGCATGCCTGGGTAAGCCTTGATGGGAGGGCGAAGGTGGCAAAGAGGAACTGGACTGCTCTTTTGCACTGCAACTAGCTACCACCCCCTAAAAAGAATAGCTTTTCTCTCACTCTGGGATAAGTTTTCTGCAGTTCCTATCAAATTCCTTTCCCAATCCCTGCCATCTTTTACTACAAAAATAATAGTAACATGGTCGGCTTCCTTCCCCAGCTGCATGAGCTCTGTGCATGTGCCTTGAAGGCAGCAAATCTTTGGGGACACAAGGATCTCTGGCAAATGCCTTCTAAAGGATGTGGTGGGGACACTCTGGTTCTGCAGCTGCTAGTATCAGTTCAGAATTGCAGTGGACAAGGATGGTTTTTCTCAAAGATTCCTGCTTTTGGTCATGGCGTGTTATTCCATAAGGTGTCCAGGAGAAAAACAGTCCTGGCAAATGAAGCGATTCTTACTGAGGGTTTAGAAGGTCAGAATTGGCTTAAGGGATATCAGAACTAGTTTACCCCTGTATCTTTGGAAAAATTTAAATAATTAATATTCTTAATTAAAATAACATCTTTTCTTCTCCCTTCACTCCCATCCTCTGCTTCTACCACCAAAACTCAATCAGTTTTCACATGGGAATCAGTCCAGAGATTTTGGCTACACTGGCTGCCACCTGTGCTTTACCCAGAGCAGAGAAACCGAACACCCCCCTCCGCACACTGCTGCAAAGTAAAAGAAACAGCGTGACATGTCCTAGCGTATTTTCCTCACTGCTGTACTGGAGTTATGTTTCAGTTCCTGCCGCAGCGACACCACATGGGCCCCCTCAGCCAGACCCCATCCCCAGGGAGGTGCCCGATGCCTGGGGCTGTGGCTGCCCTGGTGACCTCCCTGGCTGCCCAGCTCCTGACTTGGGGGGTGGGATGGGCCCTGGCACAAGCCCTGCCTTGCTGCCCCATGTCACCCTGATGCTAAATTACTAAAAACCAAGGCTGTTATCCTGCTCGGCATGGTAACTGAGGGGGGGAAAAAAAAAAAAAAAAGTTTCACTAGAAAGAGATGATCCTATCTTGAGACACAGGGAATTTACTGGGTGAGTGCCTGGATGCATGTTTGCTGGGTCAGCTCTGAGGCTGTGCAGCCCACTCCTACCTCCTTCATGGGCCAGACCCAGAAGCAACAGCCTGGTGGCTGTGCTCCGGCCGTGTCCTGCCTGGCATGCTGTACAAAGCTCCCACAGGCAGGCAGGCATCCACGCGGAGCAGTGCCGCACCTCCCATGGGCTCCAGTTCCTCACGTGCTGGAGCTGAATTTATGTTTTACGTCTTTAGCACAGCAGGGATGTGACCGCAGTTCCCTTGACATTTATAGGACAGCCTTATCTTTAATAGCTCGTCTGGATCTGGTTTGCCGGGCCATTAAAGCACGTCTTGTCTAGTCTAGTCTGGGCACTTTGGCAGGCTTATCTTACCCTGGGAGGAAACCCACTGCACATGAATGTATGGCTGCTACTGCCTGTGCTGTACAACAGATGGGTGCAACAGCTTTGGGCTGTATGCATGCCTTACACTGTAGCCAGAAGAGCCATTGCTGCACCTCCTTGAGTGCCTAGCAGCTGGGAGTGCCTTCGCTTCTGTACACCAGACATCCTGGAGTCCACTTTGCGGAAGCGTACAAGTCCCTGGTTGAAATCTACCTCTAAAATATGTTCATCTTAATTCTTCTAAAATGAGATATCCCAAACTAGCAGACACTTTCAAATGTGTGCTGGGAAACACATAACTGAGTCTTGAGCCAGCCACAGCCAGCCACAGCCAGCCACATAAAGGGAGTGAGAAAGTGCTTCCTGGAGAGGAGAAAGTAGGTGGGTTTTGCCTCCTGGAAAACAAACCACCGTTAATGTAACATACTGTCAAATTACTGACTTGACCATCCTGGTGTAACAGTAGTACTTCAGAAAAAGACAGCAAGTTGTCCGCACTCTGAAATAACCAGCATGAAAGAATTACTTACAAGGGCATACAGGAATGTGGAGACTTGGTGGCAGGCGTTGCAGCTGTCCATGTGCACTTACTGGGCAAGTTGGGAAGAATCCACGTGCTGTTGTCGGCTTTGCTTTCCTGACTTCCCACACAACTGCCATTCACAAGCAGACACGTGTTGGTCAGCTCCTGTGTTGTAGAAATAGAGACCCACAGTCACCCAGGAGGACAAGCAGGCAGGCAAGCACCTGGGCAATAATTGCTGAAGGCAAGGAACGACTTCCCTGTTTGGGTGTGAAAGCAGGGCGACCAGCCTGCATGGGGCATCCCTACAGTGGCATATCAGAAACCCAGTTCTACAGATGCATCAAACTGCTCTTTTTGGAGTAGTGTACTGAACAACATACATGGTAAACCATCACCTGACCACCATCTCCAGTAAGTCTTCCCCTGCTCTAATGTACATCGAAGCATTCCTTCCACTAGAAAATTTGGTGCTCTGCATTTAATTATTTGGTCAAGAGCAGTATTTTTCACCCTAGCAGTGAAGAAACTGTAGATAAGTCTACCCAGCAATAATTTGAGAATACTTGTATGGTGGTAGTGGGCCTCAAAGGGCCAGAGAACACTTCTACTTGGGTATCTGAGTATTAAAAGGAAAAGAGAGAATCGATAGAAACAGAACAAGAGGGAAGGGCAGCAAAGGTGCTCAGGGGTACAGAGTGAGTTCTACAGTAAAACAGCTTATTAGAGGAGGATTCGTCAGACTGGAAATGAGACAGGTGACTAGTGGTGAAAGCAGGCTTTAAATCCTGGGGGATCTGGAGAAGGTGACCGAGAAACACTTTTTTGCTTCTCAGCATTGAATAATAAGGCAAAATGAAATTATCAGGAACAACCATAGGAGTGCAGCAGGTAGAAGTGGAACCAGAAAAGAGTAAAGCAAGTTTGCAAAGGTTGAGTTCATTAATGGCTCTTAAACACACTGGCCTTGATGGTACCTGTGCTCTGTGTGCTGTGCTGGTTTCTCTATCGCTGGTGCATTTACAGAGAAAAGGAGGGGTTTGGTTTTATAGTTTATTCTCTGCATCTGCTACTGACCAATAGCAGAAACAAGGGTTACGTGGAGCTTTGGTGTGACCCCCTCTGGTGTAACCCGCTCTGCAATTCATCAGCCAACCTTTTGTGCTAAGGAAACCAGCCACATGGAGAAAAGACACATGATTTTGGTAACTGAAAGTTTCTTTTCTGGCTTGTTCACAGAATGAATGTGTCTTGATTCAGCCTTTGCTGAGTAAAGGGACCTCGCAGCTCAGTAGGATCATGGTTGGAGACTTGTGTCTTACTTCAGTTGATGCTGAAAGTTGGTATTAACCTGCTTGTTGCAGCATAGCCTGTCCTATCTTCCTACACTACCGTGGTGGTGCATTTTACTATTAGAACAAGTGTAATGCTCTCGTTAACTTCACTGTAGTAGAAATTCTCAAGGGCATGATATTGGACCCTCTTTCTACATTTAACTTTGGATTAAGACCAAAGACATAATTTTGAAATTTGATAGAACCAAACCAGTGACACAAAGAAGAAATACCTCTACGTTTCTAAACACAGAGGACTGCCTGCAGAAGGACCAGCCCTGCTGCCACGTGGAGGGGAGAGGATGTGGGAATGAACTCTAGCTACTGCAGGAGGATGCTGGCGCCAACGTGCACTGCACAGAGAGAGGAGGTGAACAGGTCTGCAGAGCATCATCTTCATTCCAGGCCATAAGGCCATGGCTCTGTCCCCCAGACACCCGGGCTGCCTGCAGCACCTGTGAAGACCAGCTGAGTCACAGCAGCCAGGCACGCAGCCAGCACGCTGTTATGGCTGGGTCTTAATTATCTAATTAATTTGTGGCTCGACATGTGAGTCCAAGGGAGACCTTAATTACCATTTCTGCCATTCTCCTTCTGCTCGCTTGCTTGTTTCACCCACTTGACAGGAGATTCTTTGAAGCAGCACAGCACGACTATCTGAGGTCTGTGCCGTGTTTTCCTGGTGGTTTCCCCACCAGCCAAGAGGATGGAGCTGCGGTTCACTCCCCGAGTGTCAGACTGTCCCTGAAACACAGAAATACACCACACTGTTATACTAGCAGCAGAGGAGGGCTGAAATGGCCTGTGGCATGTGGCCAAGCTTTCTTCTCAGCCAGAGGTCCTAGGACATCTTTGAAGATGGAGATCAACAACTTCATGTCACTGCCTAGTCCTGTGACTGCAGCTTGAAGCAGGATAGAAGGCAGGGGACACGGGGACACCTCCATGCCAGGCACTGAGTTGCCTTTTCTCCTCTGGGAACACTGACTCCAGCCTTACAAAACAGTGAGAGACTATGAGGGCAGTCATACCAAAACAGCTTGGACCCTGCAGCTGACAAAATGTCTCCTGGCAAACTTTGCCTCCCAGTGCTCTTCCCCACCACTGCTAAACCCGTTGCTTTTTAGGAGGGATTAATGGGAAAGAAAAAAGTTCATTTCCTTGCAAGCCAGGATTTGTGTTGGCCTTGAGTATATCTCTCCAAGCAAATCCTTGTTTACCTAATGAATTAACTGGGAAGGAGCAAAAGTCGCTTGTGGGTAAAGAAGAGATAAGCCACAGTGTATCTGAGGCAGTTAGCATGCTTTCACAACTGAGGTCACTGGTTACCAACCAAAATGTTGGCAGACTAGATTTTACAAGCATTTTTTTTCTCTCTTTTTTTTTTTTTTTTTTTTCCTGGTAATGCCCATCTCAACTATTCTGCAGTGGAGTGGAAAGAGAGGAGAGGCAGGAGGTTGAAATTATTAGGGCTACTTCTGCTGGTCTTTTCCACCTTTGCTGGCACGTGGGTGCCAGGCCTGGGGGAGGCCAGCACTGGCGGCAGGGCCTCGCACAAGCTCCCTCTCCCCTCCAGCCCCAGCTGCGTGGACACACTACGTGTGACCCATATTTCTCCATGGGGCAGCTCGGTGGAGCTGCAGGAGTGACATCGAGCTGCAGGGATTGCCAGAGAGGGCCCTGTGCCACTGGCCACCCTCCAGGTGGAGGTTTGCACCCCCACTTCAGGGCAGTGGCCCCAGAGCCACTACATGTTTCACCTGAGCACAAGGGAAGGCAACACCATGGGTCCAGCTGCAGGGATGGACACCTGCCAAGCCCTGAGTGAAGGTGGGTGACCTCTGCGGGGGCTCAGGAGCACCCTGATGCCCCCTTAGGCACCCACCTGGGAATGGCAGCATCCAAGCACCTCCCTTGCCACTGCCAAGAAGTGGCACAGGCCCCAGCATTGCCCCTGCCAGGAGCAGCCAACCTGGCCCTAAAGCCAAGGGTTGGAGGCAGCATGGCATGCTGAGGCAGCTGGTGCAGGAGGACTTCATGGAAGGAAAAGTATTACTGGCTTTACACCTTCTAAAATAAGGTTGCATTCTGCTCATTGTGTTCAGGTCCCTTAACATCTGACATAAAAAAATGGCAAGAATGGAGTTTTCATTTGTTTGCTCACCCAAAGTGTATGCAAATGTATTTTCTAGATGCCCAGAGAACAAAGAAACAAGACCTGGCCCTTGACTAGGTCAACATCTACATTCTTCTCTACTGGAGGATTTCTCAACTATCTCTTCAAGCATTGGTTAATTCCTGATGTGGTGCTGCAGGACTACACAGATGTCCTTCCAGTTATGAGTCATTCTAAAACCTCTGCATGGCTGTGCCCAGGGTCTGGATTCATATTTAGATTAAGATATGTCTAAAACCACTGTGGTTCTGAAGGTAACCTTAAAAAAATGCCTGAAATGTGGGAACCCCAGTACTATCTATGTGAGACAACAAGTGACCTGAAATGGTATCAAAGGATGGGAAGAATCTGACTTTCCCGTATCTTTGAGAAGCCTTGACACGACACCAGCAAGCTTCTGCCCTGCTGATGGTCTCAGCACTTGCACTCCATGAACACACAGGTTGGGTGGGAAGTGTGAGCAGAATGGGGCATGGGGCCACCGGGGATGGTCTGACTGCGGCCAAGGATGGCTGAGAGGAACAATGTCCAGTGCAAACACGTTCCCACGCTGCCTCCAGTGCAGTTTCAAGTCACCTTATATCACAAAGCAAAGATACGTTCTCTCTTCATTACCAAAACTCTTAACCTATGTCCCAGTACTCCCCCTAACCACTGACTGAAGCTTCAGCTATCATCTGATCAACCATCAAATACATCTGACCTATTGTAGGTGTCCTGCAACGGCCCTGTTACTGCCTTCTAAATTAAGAAGCTTGAGATGGCACAAGACCGGACAAAGGATAAATGGAAATATCCACTGGAGCTGGGAAGCAAGCCAAGAGACTGGGCGTGCTAACACGTAGTTCTGCAGCTGCTGCCACTTACTGAAAATATATGACAAAGAGCATAGGCTAATGTTTATAGAGTACTTTGCAGATAGGAGATTGCAATTATTAGGTTATCAGAATGCACTGATAACTTCAAAAAGAAGAAAATCAAGACACTCATTAAGTAGACTGAAGGAAAATAAGATTAACTCAGCCGGGCAGAGTTACATATGAACTTGTCCCAGACAAAGTAAAATGCCATTTTCTTGCTTTATTTTAAATAAATGGTATTACTGTCACTGAGCAAGACAAATGCAACATCAGTTTAACAGAATCACGGAGTCACTCAGGCTGAAAGGGACCTTGGGAGGTCCCCAGTCCAGCCTCCTGCTCCAAGCTGGCTCAGCACTAAGTTCAGCTCAGGTTGCTCAGGGCTTTGTCCTCTTGGGTCTTGAAAAACTCCAAGGATGGAGACTGCACAAGCTCTCCAGACAACCTGCTCCACCACCTGACTGACCTTGTAGCATAAAGCCAGAACCTCCCCAGTTTTCAGATTTATTCAGATCTTGCTGAAAGTGCAGACGCTCCCCAGATCAGAGTCAACCTTTGAACATGATGAGAAGCAGGGGCTACCAGATTCCTCCTCTTTTCAAGCCTCTCCACGGCAACAAAATTACCTGGTTAGTAGGCATGACTCCCCTCCAGTCTGCCATTAAAAAAAAAAGCAGTGTGTTCAGTAATAGATAAGCCATACTTACCACATTCAGTGTATCAGCCGAATGCCTCCGCTGTGCTCCAGCACTGAGCTTATATGTGCCCAGTGGCCAGGGACGCCAATGAGCAGCGGTAAGCGCTCTGCGGGGGGACGCTGATTGGGTCCTGCCCCACACCTAATTATGCCCAGCACCTGATTGCTCTCAGAGAGTAAACGATTGGGGTATAAAAAAAAGATAAGCAATTTATTGTGCATTTTAATTCATACTTATCTTCAGAAGTGCTCTCAACCCACCCCTCAGCAATTTTGTGGTGGTTTTAGAATTTTGTTTCTGATCTGATTTTGTGTCTCGTACTTAACGTGCTGCTTAAACCTGGCTTGTCTGTGTCAGCATGTGCCTCGCTGTATCAGGCATAAGCAACGACAGAAATTACATATTATGTTAGGTGCTGTCTGATATGGACTCCCCGTGTCCTCTGGGAACCCAGGGTTAGTCTCCACACCACCTCCAGCCCTAAACCTCTCTCTTGTGCTAGCTCCCACTCCTCATGCCACTGCACTCAAATCAGCCAAAAGCAGCAAACAGCTTCTGCTCTGCAGCAATTCCCAAATGCTGGCTGGGCAATTAGGAAATTAACTGGGTGAAGATTTACTGGAAGAGGAAAAGCCCATGGGAATTTCAGTCCCTCCTTCCCCCACTTCTTCCCACAGCTGGGCCCCAGACTGGGGCCATGTTCCCCCAAAACACAGTCACAAAGGAAATTTCACCACTATTCAGCTCATCAGGTGAGAATAAGGCTTATTGGACTGCTTATTTTGGAATTAAACCTTTCAAAGACACAACTATTGTAGGTATTAGCACAGGAATGACATTACCTTTGGTCTTTTTGCAATAAATGAACTCTCTGGAAAACATTGCCAGAGGTAATCCATTGTAGGAAAATCTTGGGGGCTATCTGATGTGACACAGAGCATGCAGGTCTCTCATAAAGAGGTTGCAGTTACAGAATAACCCAGCCACCCCTTCCTGGCTACCTCCTGAAGCAGCTCGAAGAGAAGACACAGTAAAAAATAAGATTCAGTGACCAAACTGCAAGAAATTGAGATCTTTTCAGTCTAAATTAAACAGACATATGGATGCACATTTGGAAGGACAGAAGATAATTTTGAAATAAAATACTTGGTTTAACAAAATTTTTTTTTAATGAAATATTTTCTTCACAAAAGATCGAAATGACAAGTTTGGGGACTTTGAAAAATTTCCCCATGCCCTTTTCTTTGGGTGAGATAAAAGCTTACTAAACTTTATCCAAATGCTCGGGTAATTTGCCCACCACCGCCAGAGCTGCTATGCAGTCTGACTGTTTGGCATCACCAGTCTTACGGGCAGTCATGCAGCCAGTTTTGCCCCTGGCAGGTGAGGACAGCAGGTGTTTTGAGATGGGTTTTCCTACTTTGTCTGTGCCTGGTTTAAGGGCAGAGGAGGAGCTGGTCTGTGGGGTCTGACTGGGGTTTTCACTGGCACCCTTGTCATGCTTCCAGTCCACACCAGACACCTGGCGCTTCATAGCCTGTTGCACCTAATGAAAATGTGGCCTGTGCGTACTTAATCTTACCTTGCTGTTCTGCAGTGTCTGTGTTTAAGGATTACTAACCTGAAAAAACACAAGAGCACATCGCACAGCTGTTTATTCCACAGCAGGCTTGCACTGCCCTGTCCTCTATCTGAAGAGTTACCTTGTGGCTTTTACCCTGCGGGATCCCGCTGACTAAATGGCAGTGTCCTCGGACTGGGAAGCAACGACTGGAGAGAACTGGCCAGCTGGTCATAAAAAGAGGGAGGCACAGGGAGCGACCGAGGCAAGAGCACCAGGACGGCTCCTGGCTCTCACACGATGGTGTAACAGTAGAGTTCATGCCCATGCACAGGGAGAGGGCCTCTGAGTTTAAAGCATCATCATCAAGACTCTTTGCAGAGGCAGTTTCACAGTGCCCATCCCAGCAGGGTCGGAAGGGATGCAGCATTCATGTTTTACTTCTGGGTGCTTGGAAGGAGACATCTTTCATGACCACAGAGCCGTCCCTCTGGTGAATTTTTCTCCTAGAGGAGACAATCTGGTTTTAAAATGTTCCTCATTCTACTGTACCAAGTGGGAGGAAAGCCACGTTTTATCCTCCAATGTAGTTTAATAAACAAAATGGCTTTGTCAAAGCAGTCGAAAGCTTCCATGCTAGGGCTTGATAGGATGTCAGGAGAAGAAGAGTTAGCAATGTTCTAAGGAGGCCCAGCAGATAATTCAGGGCAGAACAGGCTTTTCTTAGCTCTTGGCTTATCTTTGGCCATCAGAGAAAGCTGTTTTATGGTGAGGATATGGGGTCAAAACCACTACTGGCCAAGCTGAATGGGACTGTGAGTTGGAATACTGACCAGAATACCCACTACCTGAATTACATGGGTAAACTGGGAAAAAAAAAAGGAGGATCTTACCTGCTGTTAAACATTTTTCACCTGTTCAACACATGGTGTAAAAGCTTTATTTTAGTACAAAACTATTCCAGCTGAAATGTGACATATGCCATCTGTCCAAAATATAGATTTTATGAAGCCCTCCTCCCTGTAATTTAAGTCTTACCAAAACCAGATGAATAATTTAATTGCCAGTGGCTAGACCCCATCGACACTTCTGAGCAGCACCATGTTTTGTGACTAGTCTCACCTCAGCAGAGGTGAGATCTGAATGACAGAGCAAGGCACTCAGTGTAAGGTATACTAGCCCAAGTCTGTCACAATCCAAGGCAGAAATGGATTAGAAAAGTGACATTTTTGTTACTGAGGTGGAGAAGCCATTCACATCCACCTGTTTCAGGAGAAGTCAGCATTTGCTTGTACAACCCATAGATGTTTTCAGCACATCTGATGTGCTGCCTTTAAGGCATCTACTGTTGGTGGCTGTAGGGAGAGCGGTGCTCCGAGAGACAGGTGGGGGAAGAGGAGACCTGCTAGACTTTTTTAGGAGGACACCGGAAGGAACCCAAGGCATGAGCAGCTCCAAACACAGTGGGTTTCCCACCCTTCGCAGGTCAGTCCCGCTGTGCTTGCCCCATGGGGCTGATCAGCACGTTCCCATAGCCTGATGGGTCCAAAAGGCAGCAGTCTCACTGTGATGAATTAGCACATTGCCTTCACTCCAGCTTCCCCACGGACATGGAGTATCTGTTGCATGCCTCACCATGCAGGGAAGACAGGGACGGGCGGTGCATGCAGGCCACTTGCCCTGTTTATTTGGGTATACAAATCCAGCTGGCTACCACTAGAAGAGGCAGTGACTTTTCAAAGCCCAAGAGTTAGCAGGTGTGAAAGAGGAAGGTGCATTTGTTTGAAGAAGCTATGGTGTATTTTTAGCTACTGAAAGAGTAGCGTAACCTGCAGTGTAAACAGCAGTTGGCTTTTCCCCTAAATAAGGGCAGATTTTTTTTCTTAAGATTAAGGCAGGGGTGCACAGGTGATGGCAGGTGACTTGGCTGTTCTTCTTACTGCCATGCCATGGGTCAGGTCCTGCAAGCTCTCCCCTCACTCACTGTCCTCCAGCACTACAGCCGCTGGGTCACTCTTGGCATTTGGCACCAAAGTGGTTGGACAGAGCCATGACACATGGCTCTCCTCCACTGTTCCCCCCGACCCTAGGGAAGGCAGAGGGACAGTCCAGATTTGCAGGAGCTGCTGTTTGATGCAGCAGCTATACCCAGCTGAGCAACCCTTGCCTGCAGACCTCCATCCCACCCTTCTTCCAGCCATCCCTATCACACACTGCCCTCTCCATTAGGGAATCCTAGAAAAACAAACCAGGAAACTGATTTCGCCGATGAGGTAATGTGGTGTGGGGGAAAAGCTGCATCTCAGCTGGATGTCATCTGCAAGACAGTTCACTGTGCACAGCTCTGGGGCCAAGCCAGGGCCCCATCGGGCAAGACGGCAGGGTGTGAGCATGGCTGCAGCACAGGCTTGCCAGAGACTGTGGGAGAGGGCCCGCCTGGGCTCTGCAGGACCCACACGCACACAGAGCATCCCTGCTGTATGTGTTTAACCCCTCAGCAAGTGGGGCCAGCACCCTGGTGCAGGCCAGGCTCCTTGTGCCCTTGCAGGGGCTGTGCCTCTGCATGCCTGCGCACAGCCCCTTCCCTCTCCAAAGGTCCACTTCTGATAAGCCTGCATAGATAAAGGACGCCTTCAGGAATATTTCATAAGCAAAGCTCAAACACGTCTGCCTTACCTTGCAGTAGCAAAAGGTAACGGCACTTCCATCAGCAACACAAGTGTGAGTTGGTGTTTGTTGGGTTTTTTTTTTTCCCCAAAGGGAATTTATTGCCTTTGTAAGATAGCTTTCTGGACTGAAGTCCTCTGTTTATCTCCAGAGCTAGTACATCAGATTGTACCCAGTAATTTTCCCAGTGCTGGTGAGCCATGAGGAGGGGCACCTCTGCAGCTGGGGCCGGTTCAGTCCTAGCAGTGCCATTAAGCACTTCCTCAGAAGCTGGGAAAGGTCTTGCCTTCTCCTGCAAAAACAGGGTGTGTTCAGTCCCCTGCATCCAACACTCAAACCTGGGGGCTGCTGCTAATGGGATGCCCCTGGGGCATGGCGAAGAGCCCTGGATGTTTCTCTCAATAGCTGCACTGGCTAAAACCACCCCTATTCTACCTTGCTAGGGTATTTAACTGTTTTGGTCCCTGTTTGTGACTGTGACCCTGGCCCAGAGGCAGGAGCAGCAGCACGGAGTGGGGGCCATGGCTGGGGCAGGCATGCCTTGAGCCTGCTGGCAGGTGGAACTTGATCCCACATGCTGCCTGCTGCTCTCTGTGCCTGGTTGGCCTTTGGCCTTTCTGCTGAAACGCTCTTGCCTTGCACAGGCGAGCCCAGGAGCAACATCAGCCCTCTGTGTATCAGACTGCAATGTCAGGATCCTTTCTGCCTCTGAGTGGACTGCCAAAAGGTAAATGTAAGGCAATGATCTGTAATTGCTGCCAGCAATGACAGCATTTCAACTGATCACATGAAAAGGATGTGTAAGGTAAAAAAAGTTTAGCATATTGTTTTCCTGCTGTGTCAGTCACCCCATGCTGCTGGAGAGCACACTGGATCAGGAGTAAGAAGATAAAGCTGAGGACAGAGCACTGTGTGTGTGTGAGCAGGTAAATGAACCGTGCCCCTCTACAAAAACCCAGCATGAAGGCGAATGAGCCAGCAAGTTCATGCCACATGCCTGTGGGACTGGTCCTGGCCCCTGAGGCAGGCAGAGGAAGCCCCCCGGCACCTCTCCACCCACCAGCCTTCCCCCATCTCTGCGAGCTGAAACAACATCCCAGTGAGACTGGGCGACAGGGGCTTGAGCTATTGGGACAGGGCTGAGCAAGGACTGACTGCATAATGAAATGGGGACCAAAAAAACAAGGGATGAGGAGTTTACTCACTTGCCCAGCAGACATGAACCACCTCCACCGTGGTTTAACTTGAGCAAATCAACCAAAATGCTGAGCAGCAGCACAAATACATAGCTCTGAAATAACATAATCAGCTCCTTCGGCTTCTCCAGGCTGCTCCTCATGCACAGAACAATACCCATGCACCTCACTTGAATTCATGCACCTTTTAATGTTACAGCTTCACCATAATTCCCCAAAGACATTGCCTTCTCACAGAAACACTGGCTGACCCATACCCCTTGAATTTTTCAGAAATATCCAATTGGCCACAGAGGCACCTGTGGCTCTAGAAACTTCACCAGTGGCATCTGAGCCCTAGCACAACATCCCTCCTTTCCCAGGCTGTACAGAAACACGAGGAGTGGAGCAAAGCCAGCCATGAGAAGCAGACAGTGGACTGGCTCACCAACAGTCCTGCCCTAGCAGCAGTGATCTGGAGACAGAACAACTGCAGAGCATCACAGTCCACACACTTCTGCAGCTGACAGAAACATCTCACAGACCACAGTCTAATACACTGTAAACTTGAGCTGCCATTAAGAAACCCAGAGTCATTCTGCAATCGAACAGTGTTTATTGAAGTTTCTATATTGTACATTTGTGAACATTTGTGCAATAAATACAGTGCATAGTATTGATTTTTCCCAGCTCCTTAAAGCATAAAAGGACTTCCCTTTGTCATGGTAGTGTGTTGACACTACACAGTAAGAAAGGCTGTTAGATGACAGTGGCAGTGCTAGACAACACTTCACCATGAGCATATTGTGTGACATTCGTTAACAGCAAGCAGAAGTGTTCAGAAACCACTGAGCAACAAGCTTGGTGGGCAGATGAGACTGGTCTGGCTGCTTAAAAGTACCTCAGCTAGACATAGTTCTGGAGTCAACTACAGCTTGTGCAAGAAGTGGGAAGTAACACTGGACGCAACAACTTCAAAATGACCCTCAAGTTATTGCCTGATAGCTGTTTGCAAAATATACAGATTTTACTGGATAATTGTCTTCAGGTAAGAAAATAAAAAGTATTTTTGCTGAGCCAATATTAGACCAAAAGGACCGATATTCTCTTATAGTGACAAACAAATACAGCATAAATTGTTGATATAAATATCCATGTGCAAAATAATTTTCAGACATATGGTTAGCACTTGCTTAACCAGCACAGGTAAACAGAAGACACGGGCACCCACTTCTGAAGAAAAAACAAACCAAACCAAAACAGTTCTGTTCAAGCTCTGGACTTGAACTTCAGGTTAAAGACCAAACTGTAATGTCTTTTTTGGTCCTCACAGTATTTGAAACAAAGAGTCCAGAGTTAATACAACCCTACCACTATTAACTAACCAGGATCAGGCTAGTAACAACATTCTCATGCATGCAAAAAAGCATCATGCCTGTAAGCTTTTGCATCAGAGAAACTTCAGCCCTGCAGGACCCCCTGTCCCCTCCTCTTTGCCACCTGCATCCCTACTGCAGGAAAGAGCTCTGGAAAGTTTTTCAGTCATTCATCAACCCCATCTATTTCTCCAGTTCCTCTGGTCTAAGACAGTTGTTACTGGGCATAAGAGTGGCTGGTGGCCACCGTTTCCTCCTTGTGGCAGTGCGGAAAAGGAGACAGCTACTGCTCTTACCAAACTGAACAGAGGCACACAGGTAGATTTCTTTGGATACTTTAGCTTACCTGGACTGCTTTAGACTCACATCCCCTCTTCCTTACCAGCTCTGAACACTTCTTCTTTCTCAGTCAGCAATACTCCCTGTTTTCATAACCTTACAGAGACTAATTTATGAACAGTAAACTGAAAAAGCAAATTAAAATCTTTACAGTTCTCTGTGTCATAGGTAAAGCTACCCATTAATCTTTTGCTGCCCTAACTCTAACACAGCAATCTTACTTCTCTCTTGTACTGCTGTTCTGAAAAGCAACTTTGGGAATCTCCTTCTACCCTCCTCCTGTTTCTTGCTTGGGACATGGAGCTTTTACAGGCACAAAAAGAAAAAAACCCCAAACACTTAAGTACTCCCCCTACCACCACTGCCACTAAAGGTCAGACAGAAAAGGGGAAGAAAAATCAGATAAAAGTAAAGTAAATTTTCCAAGGGCAAGAGTAATGCCAAAATTTAGCAGCAGTGCAACTACAATTACAGCAAACCCTTCAGTTATTAGCATCTAGTGAAGTGCATGGGTTCTTTTAACAGTGTGGGAATCAAAGGATATAGTAAAAAATACAGATAATCAAAGAAATAAGTCCCTTTCAGCCTTCCTTGTAAATTAAGAATAAATATTAAAATATATGAGACAACAGTATTTGAAATAACTGGGAAAGGAGTTTAGAAACTTGGCTGAAATACTAATGTCTCAAAGGATACAACTGACCATTCCCAGACTGTCCACACTAAGAAACATATAGGATGTCAGAAATGCTCAGGGCAAAGACTGTGCCCTTGATCATGGTAAGCTATTCATGACCCCTTGGGAAGTAGATCAAAAATACACTTTGAAAGATAACTTACTAGGTTCTGCCAAGTAGCAACAGAGGTAAGACAGAACTGTTTAGCCTAGAAAAGCTAATCCAGATTTGAAAACAGTGTCTTTAACACACAAGTACACACATCTGACACTCACACTAGTTCAGCTTTCCGCTAGTCAAAGCGGCCAAGCTGGGGTTGCTACTACACTGAGGGGGAACAGTGAGAAAGAAGTCACTGCATGGCATAAGGGGGGGG